TCGTAATTATACATTTAATAACATAATAAACATTATGAATTGTTGTTTTATTGTTGTTTGATTTGGGAATCAACTCTGGTAGCATGCAAATATCGGAACTTGGTAAATTGACAACATGACGAAAATCTGATAATAAATATGATGTTTATTATCTATTTAAATAGTAGTACTAAAAGACATGATTCAAGTTGGTGAAGTACATGTTGAGTTATGGTCCATGTACTTTTTCAAAATTCACATGTACCTAACCCTATCATAACTTGACCAAAATTGATAAGAGAAAGTTCTCCTACCTACTATTGACCATTCCGAACAATACTACATTGACAGTTTTCCAACTTGTCCAGTAGATCCAGCAGTGATGATGAATTTAGTGAAAATTTTGACATTTCACCAAAATTACATTACTAAAAATTAATTTCCACAAATACTATTATTATATTGATGGAAAACAATAATGATAATGGTTGGTGAATGATTCGATGATGGAACACCGACTTATGATTTTCCATCATTAAAAATAAATTCCAATTTCATGATGATAATCCACCAATAAAAATTACTAGATCATGTTGAGATGATGTGAAAGTTTGGTGGTTTCATGATGTAAAACCACTCCGAAAATCATCATGTCCTCCTTGAGTAGAAGAATATTTTTTTATGTTTGTTGATTGCAAGAACCAACATCAGCCAAAGTTGAATTACTATTCGAATATCTTTTCGTTAATTTCAATAACAATGCCATAGTGATTCAACAATTGTGTTTGTAGTAAATGATAAGCTCCTCTGGGATAAAATTTTGTCTGAGCAAAACAAAAACAATCCTCCCATGCCGGGAATTGAACCCGGACCTCCTGGGTGAAAGCCAGGTATCCTAGCCATTGGACTACACGGGATCTCGTTCATTATGAAAATATGGTATTTATATTTACCTTAACACATATGCTTCCTTGTACAAGTTGGTTAATTATTTCAAGTCATAGATATTTACCAAAGGATATAGGATTTAAAAATAAAGGTGTTTAGATTTGAAAAACAATTATTGAAAAATTACAACTCTAAATATTTATAAGGATCTAAACAATACTCTTAAGGTTGTAAATTGGATAATCGCCATGTGATTCAATAAATGATAATAAATTATCATGCCAGAATTTGATGGCCTTATCAGGAATAACAGACATGGATGACAAGACAACAAATAGCCAAATCCATCTCTCAGGCCCATTCTTACAGAAAACATTCCAACAATCTTCAAATGAGAATCCAGTCAAATCAGCTCCACAATTGGCCAATTCATCATAATAAACTTTGACTAAATGTTTTGAATTTTGTGCAACAATTTCAGGTTTAACATCAGAGATGAGAGTTTGAGCCAAGTCAGTAACTGGATTCCACACTCCAACTTCAGACCAATCAAACATGGATACTTCCAAAGTATCAACATTCACAAACATGTTACTGGCATGGAAATCTCCATGACATAAAGTGAATGGTTCTTCAAGAATTGCCTTTTGCATATTTTCCCAACTTGCCAACTCTAATGACTTGTCAATAATTTCAATCAACTTATCAGAGAATTTGAATAATTCACTCTTTGAATTTCTTTCCTTGGCAACTTTCCAGGCATTTCTAGCAGTATTCATACCAGTTTCCCATCCAACTTGTCTTTCTCCTCTGTAGAAAGCAGAAGATTTCAAAAAGGTATGGTTCAATAATGATGGATCCTTCCAAAACTTGGCATTCAATCTTGCACATGCCTTGTACATTTGTTCCAAAACAGGAATTGGCTCTGGAAGTTTGACATTGAATTCAGGAACTCCCCATACTTGATTTCCAAACACAAAATTCACGCCAACCACATGATCACTAATATTGTCAGTCCGAATGTGGAATATCTCAGTAACCTACCTATTTTTCAAATCATTCATCAAAATAATATATTCACCAGTTTTTTCACATCCATGAGCATATAATACATGATTTTCAGAAGCATCTAACTTTTCCAACAAGTCACTTTCATAAAACAATCCTTCTCTGAATTGTCCACGTGTACTTGATTGAGCTCTAGCTTCTTCAGTATTTGGAATTGATTTCAACACAAAGGATTTTGGTAATTTACAATCAGGATCAGAATAAGTAACACTCAATCGAGTCATTACTGCACAAAGTCCTCTATTCTCAGCCAAAGGTTTCATCTCTACATTCAACACATGATTTTCATCATTATGATTTAATAAACCCTTCTTTTGTAAAATAAATTCAAACCATTCCGAGGAGACTGTTAAATCGGCAGGAGTAGGAGCTTTCAATCCCTCCTTTCCGTGCTCGTGATGATGATCAACACTCTCGGAAGAAGCTTCTTCCACACAAGAATTGTGCTCAGCATTTGGTTGCGACATTTTTTTTTGGTTGTTGGTTTTAAAAATTCTCCAATTTTCGCTTGTTTTTAATGTTTTTCTTGATTTTGAATTTCTTGTTGAGGTTCAATCTGGAATTTGTTGTTGTTAGAATGACATCTTTGAAAAAATCTTTTGATTGTAATTGGATTTCGAATTAACCCTCCCAAAACACTCGAGGGTTGCAAACTTTTTGTTACCATTTGTACGTGAACCTGCAATGGTTGAAATAATTCCCCATTAGAAACATCTTACTCTCTAATTACCTGTATCTGCAATCAACGATTTGAGTTACATTGCTCCAACAATTCAAGTCGAAAAAGGTAAGTTTTTATTTCACACATTTACGTTACAACTGTCACTTCTTAACAATTTGAAACAACAATACAAAACTATTAGAAAACAAAAATACTTGGTGGACATGGTTAGTGATGCATTTGTGTTCAATTCTCTAAATTTGAAAGAACAAGAAAGTTTGCCGCTGTCAACATGTCAAATTTCCCATGACAGCAATTCTTGTTTGCTCTCGCACTCGATAACAAAGAATTCAACAATAAAAAAATGCAACAAGCAAATCTTCCTCTTATCAAAGATGAACACTTTGCCAAATTGACTCTCAAATCCAACCGTTGTCCTGTCTGTCACAAAAAGAACGTCACTTGTCCACACACCAAAGCACTCTCTGAAAGAACCAACCTACCATCTCCACTCATAGCTTCAGAGAATGCCAGAATCTACTCTCATCCCATCCCTACCGATCGTTCAGCAGAATTCGATGAATTCATCATCCAACAATTGGAAAACTTTACAAGAAGAGTTGGAAACAGAGATTATTCTGGAGCTAAAGATCTTTACAAGAAAAGGTTGATCGATGAGTTTTATAATGTAGTAATGGTAAAGGCCAAGAAAATGAATGTTATTTCTGATGCTAACACAAATCAAGGAAGAGGTCAACCTGTCAATGATCAAAGAAGAACTTCAACATCTGGCACATCATATACTTCAAGAATTCCTCTCAATCCAGTAAATCCAAACATCAGACCAGATGTCACTGGACCAACAAGCAATGGAATTTCAAAGCAACACAAAACTGTCACTAATTCATTAATCAAAAAAGCGTCACCAGTCAAAAAACCAATTGAACAATCATGCCAAATATCATTAACAAATCAAGGAAGAAGAAATCTGGTAAAGATGACTGAAACAGACTTTGCCAGTTTACAAAATTTGATGATTGCCATGAAACGTCATCTATTGTTGGACGAAAATGCAAAATTTACAAGAATTAGAATTAAGAATGCATATACCGACAAGTTATGTTCAGTTTATGGATCAGAAACATTAAAGCCATTTAGAGAAGATTTCTTTGGAAAGGTTAAATGTATGGAAATTAAAGTTGAAGCCGAATAATCTTTCGAAAACGAAATACTATTCGAAAGATTTCTAACAATAAGAACACTATTAGAAATATTCCCAATTCAAACCTACAAGAATAAACAAAATCCAATTCTATCCAGAGGAACCTTTATAGCTTCGCTACTCGTAGTTGTCCATAAAACAAGAAAGTTTGTTTTTTAATAAATCTGGTCAAAAATTTAAATTAAAAAAAATATTTATGTCCAGTGGAGTAAAAAAGACAGATTCCAACAGGTGCCCAATCTGTCAACGCAATGGCATCGTGTGCACTCATGGCATTTCTCTCCATCAAAAGTGTTGTCTTCCTCGCATGTTTTGTGCAGAGGAGAATCGAAATATTGCTGACATTCCTGTTCCAGCCAATAAGAGAGAAATTTTTGATGATTTCATTCTTGCTAGTGTTCAAGAGTTTGCTCATCATCTCGAAGATCGTAATTATTCAAGAAAAAGAGCAGAATACAAGATGAAACTGGGTGAATTCTATGAGAAACTTCATCGTTTTGCAAAGAATGGATTCACAGCAGAATTGCCAGATGATTTTCATCGTGTTATTCATGGTGCTGCGGAGGTAAAACCAACATTCTATGCTCCAACACTTGTCGATTTGTTTGGAAGCTTTTCAACCAATGGTTCTGTGATGGCCAACCATCAAAGTCATCAGTCAAATCATCAACAACAAGCGAAGGAGGAGAAGGTTAGTCCATCCAAGATTACTAAACCTCCACATCGAATGAATTCTTCCAATGCTTCTATTGTTCATCAACAACAATATTTCGAATGTGCTTCCTTTTTTGGAACTGTTCAAAGAAATACTTTTGAAACTCCAATCATCATTGAAGAGGAAGATGAAGATGAAGTTGTAATTCTCCAACCTCACGATTCCAACCCAACCCAAAATGCTCCAGTTATGCCAAATGTCAATGTCCCAAATCATGGTAATCAAATTGGTTCAATGATTGCAGAATCTGAGCTTCCTGACGCCTTCTCCACAAGATCTGTCAGATCAGCAAATGAAGATCAAAAACTTGTTCAAATTGAGTTGAAACAAGTTAATTACATTGCAAAATTGACAAAATCTGATTTGGATAGTGTTAGAGATTTTGTAATTGCCTTGAAGCAAGAGTTGCCAGTTTCTAATAATTTTACCATCTCTGAAATTCTAATCCTCAATCCAAAGACTAGAGATTTCTGCTTGGCCAATAAGAAAGCATTAGCAATTGCCAGAGATGAATGGTTCAAAGATGACATTTGTTTGATTTTCAAAGTTGATGGAATTCAAAAGGATGAGTTGCCTGTTACTAATCATCATATTTATATGTAAATTTACTCAATATAAATCAATGTATTTGATTTGGTTCTTCAAGTTGGAATTACGATGGGAAATTCGAGTTTTCAAACGTCAAAAAAAATGTCATTTGCCGAACCTGTTATTATTGATGATGAAAGTGATACGGAAAGTAGTAACAGCATAGATGAGGAGTACATCACACCAGCCAACCTACCTCATCTCTCCTCGAGCCGATGTCCATCCTGTCACTATAACGATACCCACTGCGACCATCGCATTACTCTGTACCAGAAAATTCACATTGTAAAATGTTTCATTGCTGAGGAGAATCGTAGAGTCTTCTCAGAACCTTCTCTTCCTCGTTTAATTACCGAGAACAAGCTCATTCCATTCATTGATAATTTGCTGTTGAAGTTCATTGAAAATATTCAGGAAAAAAGTTGGAAACATTGCAGGCAACATTATGTTCCATACTTGATGGAGAATTTCTATTTGAAAATTAACAGAAAAGCGAGGGAGTTACAGGAAAGATTTGGAATTGAAAATGGACAAGAGAATGGCTCTGAAAATGAGGAGGCTCAAATGAATGGTCAACAACAACCACCAATAGGTCAACAAGAAGGTTGGAATCAAAATGTACAACAACAAGCACCACAACAGCCACGACAGATACAGACTAATAGTCCACCACGAAATAGGATGAATGTAACTCCACCACGACAGATACGACAGAATAATACTCCACCAAGAAATCAACCACAGAATGAAAATGTTATTAGAACTAATCAGCAAGCAAACATGAATCCTATAAGAAATGGTAATCAAAATGAAAGAGTGATGAATCATGTACCGCTTAATAATGGTCAAGTGGTGCGACATCCCCAAAATCAATCCCTAATTGGTCAACCACATTTACAACAATTCAATAATGCGTCTATTAATCATTTCTCAATGAATTCAAATGGAAATGGATTTACTGGATTTACTTGGGTGAATGTTCAACTTCCAAACATTCACTTTCCATTTCTTTTTAATGGATTGGCTCAACAACTTCCGAATAACAATATTCGTCCAATGATTCCAAACCAACAACTGGCCTATCCGAATCCAATCATTCATACGCCTCAACCACCAATGAATCGACCTCAAATCATTCCAATCCAACTAAACTTTCACAACCAACAAAGATTATTTGGGTTTACCAAAGAAGAGCTCATGTCAATGTCAATTTTCAAACAAAAAATTAAGGAACAGTGGAATCTCCCAACTAATTGTGTTATTTCCAACATATCATTCATAGATTCAACCAATCAAACCTTAATGACACTCGATGAACAATCCCTTCTCGTCATTAGAGAAAGCGCACTTGGCAGAATTCAAATCCAATTCGAAATTTATGAAAATACTGACCTTCTACCACTTTCTTTCAACTAACCAACCCATTTCCATTAAAATCTCCTCCATTTTCTCAATAATATTATTCACCACCTCATTCTCATTCACATCCAATCAAATCTTTTAAAAACTTTACAAAAAAAAATGACAGCAATTATTATTGATAACGGCAGCTCTCTTATCAAATCAGGATTTTCCAGTGATGAAAAGCCATCCATTGTCATTTCTTCAATGGTCGGCAAACAGAAAATCAAACCAGAAATGTTCGGAGCCGAGTCGAGAGAATTTTACATGGGAAATCAAATTTCTCACGAAAATCAATGTTTTCTAAATCTTGCTCCATGTATTAGGAATGGAGTGGGACAGAATTGGGATTATCTAGAGAGGGTATGGTCCTATCTAATGATGGATGAATTGAGGATTAATCCCTCTGAACATCCAGTGCTAATGATCGAGCAAGCACTTTCTCCGAAATTTAATTCCGAACAAATGATGAGAATCATGTTCGAGACATTTCATGTGCCAAAGTTTTATGTAAAGAATTCTGGTGGATTGATTTTGTATAGGTAGGTTAGGAAATTTTGGATGAATTGAGTGTGAATTAAAAATTGCTTCCAGTTGTGGAAGTTATACAGGAGTTGCTGTGGATGTTGGTCATCAAGTGACAACAGTGACACCTATTTATAATGGCTATACGTTTTATAATGCAGTTCAGAGGGTTCATTTAGGAGGAGATGATGTTACAAAACAATTACAAAAAGTTTTAATGTCTGAGAAGGGATTTTACTCTGAATCATCGAGTGATTTGGAACATTTGAGAGTAATGAAGGAGCAATGTTGTTTTGTGGCTGATAATTACAAGGAATTAATGGAAGGAGTTCTGAGACCGAGAGATTTTACAATTGACAAGAATGAATTTTCAATGAATTATACGTTACCTGATGGAAATCAAATCGTTGTGGATATGGAACGATTTATAGCACCAGAAATATTATTTCAACCAAACAAGATTGGAAGAGAATGTGATGGAATTGACAAGTTAATTCACAAAGCAATTTTGGCGTGTGATCAAGATGCAAGAGAAAATCTCTTTTCTAATATTATTATTTCAGGAGGAACTAGTCAATTCTTTGGATTTAAAGAAAGAATAGAGGATGAATTGAAAGCTCTCACTAAAGATTCATTCAATATTGGCATAAAGACCTGTGACACTGAGTACAGATATAATTGTCCATTTATTGGTGGATCAATTTTGACAAGTTTGAGTTCATTTGATAGTGTTTGGATAACACAGGATGAATATGATGAATGTGGAATCTATTCTCTCACCAGAAGAAAATATGAGCAATATTATTATTAGTGTTTTATTCAAAATTGCAATAAAGTTAGTGATTGTTTTGAGTCTGATCCAAATACCATTGAACGGCTTTCTTTTCATCACCAGAAACAAGGGCCAAATTATCATCTAGCTGCTTTTGACAAATGTAATTTCTAGGAAACCTTAAGATCTTGTAAGTGCTCCATAACTCTTGAAGTGCAGATAGGCTGATAGGGAGTTCAATAACAATGTTGGAACTACAATAAGATTGCATTACATTAAACCAGTTTGGTTTTGTGGCATCAACTATTGGAGAAACCAGAGATGCAACTTTGGTTGCCAAGTATCTGAACAACTCCTTCAAAGTATTTGCTCTTACTTTCAACAAGTCCTTTTTTTCTAATTCCTCTACTCTTGTGAAGAGTTTCTTGTTTTCTTCTTTCAACTTTTTGTGATCTTTTTCTAATTCCTCTACTCTTGTGATGAGTTTCTTGTTAACCTCTTTCAACTTCGTGTTATCTTCTTTCAACTTCTTGCTATCTTTTTCTAAAACCTCAACTCTTGTGATGAGTTTCTTGTTATCTTCTTTCAATTTCTTGTTATCTTCTTTCAACTTGTTATTGTCTTGTTTAATATTGGCCATATCATTCTTCAAAGAAAATAAAAGATTAAGGATTTGGGCGTCTGTTGTAGTGATTTGTTTTTGCATCTGTTGTGGTGGTTGGTTTTCTTGTGAAATGTAACCATAATCTTCATCATCTTTTATTCTTTAGACAGCCTTTTTTATGTTGTAGAGTTTGCCATCTTCCATCATTTTTTCTAGGCTACGTTGAGAAAATCGTTCATGTTTAGTCATTTTGTAGACATCATTAAGAGAACCTAAGGATTGCATTTGTTGTTGTGTTGTTTTTTTATTGTTGAGTAAACATTGGAAGTAAGCAGCAAACACTTAAGGCTGCTTTATGAGATTCCTTGTTGAGTGAGGTCTCTCTTAAGATTCGTCAAATGAAACTCTATCGAATCTGTTGTTTCAACGTAATCTTTATGAACTGCAACGTTATTAGATGAAGGAGGTAACATGAGGAGATATTTGGTAGAAATTAGGCTTGATATTGTTTTTATTGAAAGATTCCTCATCAAAAGTTGAAACACATATTTGGTTAATTACCAAACAAAATATCCTTCTTCTTCAATTCATATTCAGTTTCTGTTAAAATACCAGCATTCTTCAAATCAGCCAATTTCTTCAAGAGTTCAATATCTTGCTCTGTGAGCTTCTTTCCTGCTGATGGTTGTTCTGTTTGAGGTGCTGAGCTGATAGACTTGTTTGCTCCAACTTCTTCACAAACTCTCAAATCTTCTTCCTTGGAGTTTTCTTCATGTCCTTGCTTGATAATAATTTCATTTGTTTCTTGGTTGCATGATACAAAAACATGAGTTCCGTTATTTGTCAAATCAACAGCTACAACCTTAGCATTTGGTGAAACCATTGGTGCTTCAACCTTAACTGAAACGACGTGGTTTGCCTCACTGTCAGGATTAATACGCTTATTCTTTGGAATGTCTCCATTGATGCATCCCTTTTGTCTCTTCTTTAATGGTTCTTCACGTTTGTAAGCTTGCTTGTCATTGATGTAAATTAAGAATGGCTGTTCGGTGCTGGCTGGAATTCCAGAGAAGTGAACCAAAATCTTGGATGGTTCTTCCTTTGGTCCAGAATCTTGAATGAAACCTTCAAAGTTTTCATCATTTTGTTGTCTACAAACGACCTTACCAGCGGTATTGTCACTGACACCAATCATAGCAAATCTACCATTCTTCAAGTTCAAAGAGTGTTCAAGCTTGACACCAACCTTTGGCATGTCAATAACAAGAGGAGCAATAGTATCACCACTTGGATTAGATGGAATTTCACCCTTCACACAAATAATCTTTTCAGGAGAAACGTCCTCAGTTAGTGAAATCATGACAGCATTTTCAGGTTTGTAGATGAGTTGGAATGGTTGGGATGATGAGGCCTTAATGTTACAGAGGAAGAGTTTGAGTTCAATGAATTCTGGTTGTTTTACAGTGGATGTTTCTTGTCTTGGAGTTTTAACTTTTTGGATTTCTGGTTCTGGTTGTTTTACAGGTTCTGGTTGCTTTTCTGGTTGTTTTTCATCTACAGTTTGAGTTTTCTTTGGGAATGACAAAAGTTTGTTGTCTCCAATAATATTCTTTCTTTCAAAATCTGCTTCAGCCTTATCCAAAATTCCCTTATCTTCTAAAGATTGAACCTTTAACAATTTTTCTCTTTGTTCAGCAGTTAAATTTGATGCATCAACTTGATATTCATCAAAAACAAGTGGAGTAGATGAAATTGTGGTTTGAACTGCTGGTGTAGAGTCATCATTTCTCTTTTCAAATTTGTTTTCTTCATAAAGTTCTGGTTGCTCATAACCACTGAATGATTCAATTGTGCTTTGAATAACTTTAGCATATTGTGTTGAATCTTCCTTCTTTGCAAAATCAATCAGGAAGAATTTTCCAGATGCACTCAAATTGTAACGCTTTTCGTTAACAATTCTCTTGACATCTTGATTAGTAACACCTGTCTTCATAGGCATATCAACACTCAAATTAATCTTGTGTTCTGGAGAGAATTTTGGTTCCTTAACCTTGATTTGAACCTTAGTTTTCTCAGCATCATGTTCACATCTGAAAAGACAAAAACCATCAATCAAAATTCTGAATGGATATCTGACAGATGCTTCAACACCATACAACCAGAAAGTAAGGGTTGTTTCAGCATTTCCAACACCATCAAAAACACTTTCAAAACTAACTTCACCTCTACCGCTCAAATCACCAGTTTGTCTTGGAGTTGTACTACTAGTAGATTGACTTTCAGTTGTTGGCTTAACACTTGAAACAGGAACTCTAATATTTGAGGTAGTTGTTGGTTGTCTTGGTGAATTAGTTGCCTGAGAGGAGGAAGAGGCTGTTGATGAAGTTGTAGTAGTAGGGCTTGATTTTACTGTAGATTTCACGCCGAGAATGCTCGAAGTAGAAGTGGCCGTAGTTTTTTTGGTGGGAGTCAAGGCGCGAGGAGAGGCTGAACCAGAGGTGTTAGTGGTGTTCAAACTTGGTGATTGAGTGGAACCCTAAAATTGTTGTTATAATGATATTTAATGATGATAACCATTTGATGATCGAAGTAGTAATTGATTTTGTAAAATGTCCGGAAAAAGATGATGATCAAATATTTGTGTGTTGTGAGTGAAACTTACAGATTCATCGAAACATTGCTTGACTGGATTGGAAGATCTGGTTGGATCAATTATAAAGTGAGTTCCCTTGTTGGACAGATTGTATCTTTCCAATTCATCTAATCCATTGAGTGGAGCAAGGATGTTCATGTAGACATTGTGAACAGAGGCAAATTTTGGAATGGGAATGTCGTGAGTGACTGTCTTTTTATCAATATCTTCAGTTGAGGAGAAGACAATAGTGGAGTCGACCTTGATTTCGAATGGCTTCTCTGAAGATGCCTTTACATTGGAAATGTGGAAGAAACAGTTTGATGAAGACATTTTTTTTAACTTGAAAGTTTTGATGACAAGAGATTTGACAAGGAATTTTATTCATACGTCATTTCTTTGACTGTTGACTGCTTGCTCTTATTAGAATGTGATTAAGGAATGTTAGATCTCTATTTGAGTGAACAAGAATACAGTCCAGCCATTAGTGTCAATAAGCACATGTTAAAAGTGAGTTAAATCAATTTACAAAGCGGTTGAAACCTAGTTGTTTATTCAGATTCTGAATCAAAGACAACCACAGTTCAGAGTATTACTTAGTTTGTTAATGGTAATGTTAAAAGACTCTTTAGAAGCATAGTAAAAGCTCACTGATTACATGATTCTCTAACAAGAATCAAAAGATTTACAAAATCTATGTGATGAAGATGAGCTTGATTTCATCTTTTTCTGTTTGGTGATACAACTCGAAGACTTTGATTCTATTGCTGAGTGAAATCTAGATGAGAGGGTTGAAAGTATTTCCCTAACAGTTGATTCTCCCTCTTCTGAAGGTGTTGAAAAGACCATTCTACTTTTTCTATTCTTATTTGAAGGAGCTAATAATAAAGGGAACGAAGAGTTGACTTGGAGGTTATGGTTTGAATGATCTGTTGATATGGTTTGAAAGGATGTTGGTGATCTTTCAATAATTGGAGAAGGAGAGTTGTTCTTCAAACCGAGTCTAGAGAATAGTAAGGATAACTTCTCATCCTTCTCAACACTACACTTTGATTCGGAAGGATGTGGAGAAATAGCACCTGTATTCAGGGTGTGTTCCATTATTTCAGAGTCGCTATCTTGTTGTATACATCTACTGACAAGTCCTTGTTCATTCTCAATGATTATTTTAAGGGATGAAGGTGATGGCATATTTGATAACTATTAGGGTCGGCTATTTACAGGTGTCGTGATGATGGGGTGTGCTTTGATGAAATCACTTTTTTTTTCCTCTGTGTTTTTTGTTGGGTCGAGTGGATTGTTGTTTAAAAAGCGGACCTCACTACAATAAAGTCAATACAAGCTCAACATGGCAACGCTGCCCTTCCAACCGATCCAAACCGTAATAAAGCTTGTTTTTAATGGCTGACGGTTTTTTCGTTATTGTCTTGGTATTTAATAATAACCTTAGTAAAACCGTCAAATCTATTTCGATTGTTGTCAACTCCAACCAACATTAAAACTAACTATTATCAATTGAAAGGCAGTTATTGCTGATGATCTTACATCGTGATGCCTCTTAATACACATCCGATCTGATGTACTGTTTCATCTGATGTAAAACCCTCAATAGTCGTTCAGGCCGAATATTTAATTACTACTGGGTGACTGTAATTTAATTACAGCTTATAGTTTTAATCAAATCAAATCGTTGCATCACACATATTTGCTTTCCTCCGTTGTGATTGAAATACTAATTGGCAAACTCTATTTCATCACCCGAATTTATATTAAATAAATTAAATCTTGTTAAAATATATAATTTAATACAATTAATAATTTATTTAAAATCCAAGATATCCCTCAAATAATACATTTTCAATTATATTTATGAATTTAATATTTAATGATCATCAAATAGTTCCATCATCTTGACTCAAAAAAATGAATAGAATTATCAAAGCCTCCACACACCTCCATTCAAATAAACAAATTGTCGGGTTGATGAGAAGTGGCAATTCATCATCTGTGCAAGCTTCTCTCCATACATCCTTTTTCCAAAGATCCATCTCATCAAAGAATAAGAAGTTTAATAACGGTTTTATTGATGAAGATTTAGTTTCGGAACATGTTTTGAGTAGGTTTTTATAATGTGTGATGTTAATTGTTCTGTTTTTTGAATAGAAATGTCGAAGGAAGAGGAAGAATTAATGAAGGATATGCAAAAAGACGTTGTTTGGAATGCCTATCTTGCAGAAATGGAAGGATATGAGGATATGGTTTGGACTGATGCTAAAAGACGTGGAAAGGAATTGACTGGTGATGATATTGATGCTATCAAGGAGAAGATTAGAGAAAAGAGAAAGGAATTGGCAAAGAAATATAAACAAATGAAAAAGGTCTATGACCAAACTGGAAAACTGGACACAGTTCAACAACCAAAAGCAGCAGGAGAGGAAAAGAAATTATATGAAGATTTGGCAAAGGTTTTCAAAGAAAATGCTCACTTTGTTGATTCACCTGAATTTGGTTCAATTAAAAAGGAATTTGAAAAGAGAAGTGGTTTCTCGATACCATCTGGTATTCATGAAGAATATTCTCCTGAACAAATTGAACAATTTATGAAAATGTTGGATGGAGAAGAAGGAAAGGAAATGGAAGAATACATGAATAAGATTTTATCAGATGATGTGTTTGCTAAATTGGGAATTAATGCTGAAGATTTTAACCCTGCCAAGACTGGAGGTTTCAATTTGGAAAATTTGGAAAATATGGCAATGCCAGCAATGCATGAACCACCAAAATCAAAGCCAATCTCAAAGGAAGAATTTGAAACATTCAAACACAGTATGTTATCTGACATTAGAAAGAATCAATATGGTATGGAACAATTCTTCCTTAACGAAACTGGCCAAACATTCGAGGGTGTAATGGATGACTTTTACAATGTAATGAAAGAGCAAAATGTCAGTAATCCTGATGAATTATTTTTAAAACTCAGAGAAGGTGCCAACAAGAAGAAATAAATGTCAGCATCTGATTTATCTCTACATATTGGGATTTGTGACCAATTCGTTCACCTAAGAACCCTTCAAAGATTGTCAATCTCTGTTAAATAAATATTGGTAAGTTAGACTCACATATTTAGATTGAAGTATGTTTGCAAATGAAACTGAAATAACAAACTAAAAAAATGGGAATAATCATATCACCAACCAAAGAATGTTCCTCACAGGAGAAACCAGCAAAAGAACCTTCCATACTGAAGAAAATTGTTGAGAAATTTCAAAAGAAAGAAAGGGTTAATGTCGAAACATCGTTAGATAACAAGCTCTTGACAACCTTCTCAATTTTTGAAGCTAGTTATCCTGACTTGTTGCATCAATACATTGTACAATATCATCTGGCAAGAACTTTTGAATTTCCAAAGAAAAAAAGGAACAGATTGTCAACAAGGGATTTAATAGCCTCTCAAAATCCAAAAGAATACACTAATTGTATTGATATGACTCCAACAAACCTACTCCCAATAGAAAATCCCCAAACTCTCAACAGGTCTTTGGAACTTGAATTTATTGACTCTAAAACGAAAAGTTCCATTGCTCAAGAAGGAGGTCAGAATCTAGCAGAGTACCAAATAATCAAAGAAGAATTTATTTATGAGTTTATAGAATTTGAAAAGAAGAAATATAAATACGAGTTGGAGTGTGGTTTAAAACTGAATTTCTTTGCCATTATTGAAGAGTTCATGAAGAGTATTAACAATGTACGGTAGTAAAGTTCTTAATGTTACAAGTTTTATTGTTCAATTAGTAACTAACAGAGTACAATGTCTTAGAGGTTGAGCTAATATTAAGATAGTAAGAGTAGTGGGATCTCTCGATGGCATCTGCCATATCAAAAGTGGCAGTTACTGCAATAAACTTTCTATACTTGTCAATGATTTCATAAACAGTAAGTTCAGGATCATCTAATTGGAGGAGGAATGGAGCAATAATGTCTGCCAAGATTCTATCACCTTCTTCTCCCTTGAATGATTTTATTAAAAGACCATTCTTTGGTTGAAGGAAATTCATCACACCATCATCAACGAGGAGAGTATGATCAAGATTTCTTCCCAAAATTCTCAAATCTTTTCCTGGGAACATTCCACTACCATTACAATGGTGACGATATAATACATGAGAAAATAATTCAGCACTAGGATCGATATGTTTCAAAATTGCATCAGCATAAACTGGCAATGCTGCTGTAAACATTATCAACTCGAATTTCTCAGCTAAAGTTTGGAGGAAATTTTCCAAACCAGGTCTTTTCTTAATATATACATGTTGTTGAATAAGATTTCCCATATGAGGGAATTCAATATCAATCGAAAAATCGTAAACTTCAGGCTCTTGATAGAATGATTTAATTAGGGTTTCATCCAAATCAAGGACAATAGTTTTCTTTCCTTGGTTTACCTCAGATTGTGGTGGTATTACAGACTTGGTAACTTTCTTTTTTTGAACTCTGGTCTTTTTAGAACGAGTAACAGTTACCGGTATTGGAGTGCTAGCAATTGTTGATTCTACTTGTTCTTCTTCTTTAGAATCTATGGTACAGTTATTGGTAGTGGTAGTGGTGGTGATGGTTGTTGTTGTGGATAAGGTGGAAGTGCTGGAAATTGTTTCATCATTATACAAATCATCCATTGATGATGATGAAGTGTTTGCTTCATCTTCCAATGATAGATTTTCAAAAACGTTAGATAAATCATCGCACGTTGCTGCGTGTCTTAATTTACGAGGTGATAATCCGCTTGAGCTTTCATTGTTACTTGATGGAATCACGACGCCTTCATTGCTACTTTCAATAATGCCATGATGTTCAGCCAAATCACTCAAGGAGGAGAAAGACGATGTTGGTGATGATACAAATTTGTGGGATTTACAGAATTTTGCTCCTACTGTTGCTACTCTTTTCATATGTTGTTAAAAAGCTTAATATTATTGTTCTTGTTTTTTGAAGTGTGAGAATCTCTGTTATTGGTCAGGAACGTTTGTTGCACACGGTTACGATTACAGATTTTTTTTTTGAAATTTTTATTCAATTACGTCGTTAGATGTTATTTAAAGACTTGATTGTCCTTGTTTATTTGCGCGCTCAAAAAAGCCGAAAAAATAGGACTTTGTAATCTGTATATCAATCGCGAATGCGTCCTTTCTTGCACTACAAATTTTTCATCTACAGTAAGTGATTCTCTTACTATGGTATTCGAACATGTCAATATCTGTTGTATTTGAGGATGATGTTTACTGATGCCAAGATCCTATTTCAAGTTTGCCCAATAGTGGAATTAGAGTACTCAAAACAAGAGATTTCAACATTGTTACTTAATATTATTTACATTAAACTTTATTGGTATAGTAAGAGCATGGTTTTGAGTTTCCCCACCAAGCATCACCATCTCTGCATGTGCCATCGGCATGGTTAGCAGAAACTTCATAGTACAATTGATTAAAGATTGGTTGAAGAGAATTATTGGAACTGATTTGACAAGATGGAATTGGAACCATACCATCATTTGGTTGACCATAACCAACCAATTCGCTCAGTAAAAAGAGAGGAACGGCATAGATAGAATTAAGGCCATATGCAGAAGCGCCACACATTTGTCCAGTTACATAAGGAGCTGTATAATTGACTAAATCTTGAATTCCAGGGAAATCAGGAGCTAGTGTGCCATATGCAGGATAAACATCAGTACTGTTTCCTCCAATGCAATATCCTCCTTCATCAGCTACAATTTTATAAATACTAGGATCTGTCCATGTGTTTGCTCTCACTGTAAAATATTAACAGTTCAATAAATTATTGAAATAGAATAAATACATACCACAAATTTCCTTCAAAAACAATGAAGCCTTAGATCCACGAAGAGGACCCATTACATCATACCATGATACAGTATCCTTGTCAATCGAACAAATACCATTTTGAATACCAGCTGCCAAAATTAATGTACCCATAGAGTGAGTGAAAATAATCTTGTCTCTAATAACAGTTCCAGTATTGTTCCACAAAGACAATGAGCAATAGCTGTGTTGAAGTTCACTATTATTCCAACCTCTATATTTGGTTTCTTCTCTAATGAACCATCTCTCAGTACATTGTGGTGTATAGGAAGAAACTTTACCCCCTATTGAAATAATTATTTGGAAAATTGAGAATGATGATTAAAATGAAATGTTGCAATTTGCTTGATTACTTACAATAATCTGGGAAATCATTCACTGGTGGACCAGCTTGGTTTGGCCATTGACCTACTCCGTGTAAAAAGATACAGGTTCTATTTGGACGGGCAGTAACATCTCCTCTCTTTAAAGATCCACAAACAGTATCATCTCTAAGCCAAGACAGAGAGCAAGAATATTTGGAATCGAAAATGTAAGCCTTCTCAGGATCTGTTTTGGTTTTGGTCAAGTAGAGCTTTTCCTTTTCATCCTTTGAGAATGTAAGTGGTGTGACTGGGAAGAATTGCTCTTCTTCAGCGCTTAGGGATAATAATTGGCTTTCGTCAGTCACAGGAATAAATCTATTAATCTTCACAATAAAATTACTATTGATAATATGTGAAATGATTGGCATGGTTTTGAGTGATGACTTTTGCAAGCATAAAACATAATGTTGATGTTCGAAAAATACTAATAATCTCAAATTGCTAACAGATGGACACATCTTGTTTACAGCCATGTCAAATATTGGCATGTCATCCGGAATTAAATAATTTTCATTTTCAATAGTGTCTATAAGCTTGTGAAACTCGAATGGTGATGTAGGAACTAATCTAGAGGAAGGAGAAGAACCTTCTATATGTACAACTTCTCTAAATGCAAATTTGGTAGAGTCAAAATAATATTTCTTTGTTTTTTCTACGTGTTTCCTCTTTTCAGGAGAACCTAGTAAGCTAACCATCTCCTTGATGATTGTGCTTGATGAAAGTCTAATATGGGAATGGCCATCATCCCTCTTAGAGACAGTGGCTGTTCCTTCAAATCGATGTTCTCCATCATCTCTGTTGGTTACATCGAAATTAACAACAAAACGATCTGGAAACACTAATGGTACATTCTTTGATGAGGCTCCCATCACCATTGAACTTTCCGATGCTAAAAGCATCATACATAGCAACAAGGTGCTACACAACAAACCCCAACACGTTTTAAATGATAACATCATGATAATTCTCTTCTCCACAACAAATTATCCAATCCACCACTCAATAATAAATAATAAAACAATTCTATGAAAATGCAATCCAAACCAATAATAGACTATTGAAAGTTGTTGCCGTGTTGTTGCTGCACTTCTGTCGAGGTCCTTTAATGTGATGACGCTTCGAAGAAAAAAGGATTCGGTTTTTTTTAGTCTTGTCTTTGATATGTGAGGCTCTGCCGATAAAAATTGTTGGCGCTCAATTCATTGTTGGCTATTTTAGTTGTTGCAACGTTGTATTCGCCCATCCACATTGTAAATATCCTCGATAAAGAGAGAATTTGTGAGGGTTCAAAAATCGAGGATATTTACAATGTGGATGAGCATCTACGAAAAGATGATGTTTCATACATAATACACTACAGAATAAATTATTGGAAGCTTTTGAGAATGAAAAGGAATGAATTGATGAGATTGAGGAGTTTCCATGGTTATTTTGGTACTTGTATTGGAGTTCACCTCAATCAATAACCATTTAGCTATTAATAACAAGTTAATTAGAAAGTAATTTTACTATTGAAAGATTGTGTACTAAAATATCATCAAATATCTTGTTGTTCAACTCGACGATGATAATTGAAAGATTACTTGAATTAACATATTGAAAAAGACTCTTAAATAAGATAATTTGTTTTTCAAGAAAATACGAAACTAATCTGATGCATTGTACCTTAAAGATTAGTTTCTATTCTAAAACATGTTGGATAAACTTGAATTCCATTTCTAAATTTTAGTTTTGCAAGTGGCGAGATTTCTTAATATTTGAATATGAAATCTGAAGAAGAAGAAATCTCATCATTCTAATCATTCTTGACATCTGAAATTTATTGAATTGACTGAATTTTATTGATAATTTCGAGTGAAATAAAGCACTATTAAAAATAGCGATTATGATGCATTAATAATAATCCACATGCAAAATATTTCAAAAAAATGTCACAATTGACCAAGTTGATAAAGACCAAGAAACTCCTTTCATATGGAAGATTCTCTCGGTTATTTTACTCGATCAATAACAATCAAGTACTATCTGATTCGATCAATAGTTCAACTGATGATAGTTCAATCAAAATCAATTTGGAATCAAAATTTGTGCAAGGCGAAAAATCCAAGTTCCATCCAACTTATCAACCTGGAGTTCCAAGAATCATTCCAGTCAATCCTGATTGTAATGCATTGGAAGGTGAGTTGAAACTAACTCCTTCAAAAGCATTGTGGTTTGGTGGGATGACCTTGTCAGCACTTGTGGGTGCAATTCTCACGTATGACTCTGCTTTGATGATTGAAAATTTGAGTCTTTTTCTTGGTAGTACTGGAATTTCCATATTATTTGGTCATTCTCTTGGTATGCATAGAAAATTCATACACAATTCATTTCAATGTCCAAAATGGTTGGAATATGTTCTGGTTCACCTCGGGACATTGATGGGAATAGCTGGACCAATTGGTATGATGAAAGCACATGATATGAGAGATTGGGCACAAAGACAAGCTCCAAAGAATGGTCAATCACAATGCCATCCTTATTATGGACAACAGGAATCTTTGTGGAAAGATGCCTATTCACAACTATGTTGTTCCCTCACTTTGAAACATCCTCCTGAAATAATTCTCGGTGAAAAGATTGAAAAGGATAGAGTGATTCAATGGATGGAACGTACATGGATGCTTCAACAATTACCATATGCTATTTTATTCTATTGTATTGGTGGATGGGGTTGGGTGATTTGGGGTGTTTGTGCTAGAGTTTCAATTTCAGTTTTTGGACATTTCTATGTTGGATGGTATGCTCACAATTCTGGATCTGTACAATCTAGAAGTTATCATGTTGAAGGAGCTTCAATTCAAGGTTACAATGTTGAATCGTTGCCCAACTTGAGAAAGAAATCATTGTGGGGTAGAAAGATTCAAGAAATTATGACTGCAGGAGAATGTTATCATAACAATCATCATGCTTATCCAGGAAGTAGTAAATTAGCAATTAAGGACAATGAGCTAGATATTGGATGGAATGTTCTCAAGGTTATGGAAAAATTGGGATTAGTTTGGAATTTGAGAATGCCTCAAGATTTACCTCCTAGAAAGGAACTAACAAAAATTGACGAATAGATACCAAAATTAGGGAATTTGCAAATTAATAATCATTGTTCAATAAATTACTTTTTCATTATTTAAATCACAGTAGCCATTATCACATCAAAAATTTCTTATTGTTGAAGAGATTGAAGTCTCTCATCACTCTGCAAAAATCCAAACAAGTCCGTTTTCAATTATAGTTTACAATAATATTATTAACTCTTAATTTCATTTATTTGAGTTTTTCCATCAAATTGGGATTGTATTGCTCACTTCAATTACATCAAAGGATCAACTACTTTGCAAAAGGATAATTTGGATCTCCAATTCGTGGCTTATTTGATTTCTCCAATTCTGATTCTAAATCCTTTCGATTGGATTGTGAACCTTGAAGTTGTTGAGAGGTTTGAGATTTATCAACTTTGGAATGTTCAATTTCATCCTCATTACGAACAGTTTCGTACTGTTCTTGTTGTTGATGTTGCTTTAAAGACTAGAAGAAGATTTCATTTTCAAATTATTCTAAACCAACCGAAAATAACCTACCCTAAAATCAGACATTTTGTTTAAAATTACTGAAATGAAAAATCCACCAAACTTTTAAACCAAAGATTATCTTTACTAACACAATAAGAAGATTTCCTCACTTACAATATTGCCCTTTTAAATTCAATAGCCATCCACCTCCTGTTTGAACACTTAATTGTCAAGTTCCTCTTTTTTGTCTTGCCCTCAATAATTGCGTGTTCCAAATTGGTTTCATTGGCGCGAGGCGAAGATTTTTCCATACGCGTCCAAGAAGAATATTTTTGTAACTTTTATCGGTCGCTATCGGAAGCCTTTTCATTAATGATGAATCAGCAATAATTGAAAAACACAAAGAATTGTCTCAACAACCCTCACACACATATAATTTATACACGATGCCAAGCAAGAAGATCACCGTGAAATCATCTAACCTCAAGGAAACCACAGAAACTTTCCAAAGTAAATATGTCTATCGTTATAACAAGACTGAATCAAAGACTGTTGGTGATGCTGTTGAATTAGTTGTTGAACCAAAGACTGTTAATCTCGAATTTAAGACTGAAAAGAAGATTGGTAGAGTTGGTGCTATGCTTGTTGGTTGGGGTGGTAACAATGGTTCCACACTCACTGCTGGTATTTTGGCCAATAAGAAGTATGTTTTTTCATTATTATTCATTATCTAGAATCCTTGTCATCATTTAATAATAATTATAGGAAATTGCAATGGGAAACAAAGGAAGGTGTCCAATCTGCTAACTGGTACGGAAGTATTACACAATCTGCCACAATGCACATGGGTGGTCAACACTATGCTGCTTTGAAGGATGTTGTTCCTATGGTTTCACCAGACGACCTCTTCATTGGTAAGTAATTATCTTTCAATGGTATCATTCAATAATTTCTATGAATTTATTGTCACCACGTTTGAATATGCCAAAAATGCGCACCCGAAATTTTTTACAAATTTGGACTTTTATTCGCTTTTTAAATTTCCATCACGGGTTTTTGAACGTTTGTGTTATGATGACGATGAAAATATTTAATAATATTGCTAATGATGAATAGATGGTTGGGATATTTCTGATTTGGATATTTATGCTTCTTGTAGAAGAGCTAAGGTCCTCGATATTGAAATTCAAAAGTCCCTTGAAGAAGAATTGAAGCAATTCAAGCCACGTCCAGCTATTTATGATGCTGACTTTATTGCTGCTAACCAAAACGATAGAGCCAACAATCTTGTTAAGGCTACTCATAGATTCGAGCAAATGGAACAAATCAGAAGTGATATCAGAGATTTTAAACAAAAGAACCAATTGGATAAGGTTATTGTTTTGTGGACTGCTAACACTGAAAGATTCTGTAAGGTTTCTGAAAATTTGAACTCTACTGCTAAGGAATTGATGGAAAGCATTAAGAATAACGAATCCGAAGTGTCACCAAGTACTTTGTACTGTGTTGCTTCTATTTTGGAAGGTTGTTCATACCTCAATGGTTCACCACAAAACACTTTCGTTCCTGGTGTTGTTGAATTGGCTCAACAACATGGTGTTTTCATTGGTGGTGACGATTTCAAGAGTGGTCAAACTAAGATTAAGTCTGTTTTGGCTGATTTCCTCGTTGGTGCTGGTTTGAAGCTTGCTTCTATTGCTTCTTACAACCACTTGGGTAACAATGATGGTAAGAATTTGAGCTCACCTCTCCAATTCAGATCTAAGGAAGTTTCTAAGCAAAGTGTCGTTGATGACATGGTTTTGAGCAATGATATCCTCTATCCAAACAAGCAATCTGATGCTCCAGATCACTGTATTGTTATCAAGTATGTTCCATATGTTGGTGACAGTAAGCGTGCTTTGGATGAATACATTTCTGAAATCTTTATGGGTGGTAAGAATACCATTGTTCTCCACAATACTTGTGAAGACTCACTTTTGGCCACTCCACTCATGCTCGACTTGGTTGTTTTGACTGAACTTATGGAAAGAGTTACCTTTAAGGAAATTTCATCTGTTGAACAAGAATTCTCATCTGCTGATTGTAAGGAATTCCGTAAGATGGATGCTGTTATGAGTATTTTGAGCTATTTGTTCAAGGCTCCACTCGTCAATCCAAATGCTCCAGTTATCAATGCCTTGTTCAAGCAAAGAGCTGCTATTGAAAATATTTTGCGTGCTTTGATCGCCATACCCCCAGAAAATGACATGCTTTTGGAATACAAGCTTCCACTCCATTAAATAAATTATTTTAATTTTTGTACATTACCATCAAATGATATGTTCAGTATGAGTTTATGATTGAAACCAAATTGAATTAAATTTTTGAAAGAAGAACTTTTCTGGCAACACTTCTCGAAAATAGTAGAATAATTCGAATTCATTAGAGTGCCATCTAATAAGCAGCTTCGATTGGGGTTTCAGATTTTGGCAATAGATTTGGATTGAATATTTCTTTATTCCACTGACAAGTGATTCATTAACAATGATAGGAGTGTTAAAACAAGTTTAAGAGTTGGATTGATATGTTTGATCAGCAGGGAACATTTCAATTTCATTGAATCAAACGAGTGAACTTACTTTCTACAACATTTGATTATTTTCAACAATAATTTTGTTAAACCTCATTCTCTAAACATGTTTATTAAGCTGCAAGGTGAGGTATTACATATTTACATTGGTGGTAAATTATTTTTTAAATTTTTTTGGAACAGTGTCACTTTAAGCTACAACTTTAAATGGTGAGCTAGTTCCATCATAAGGAAAGACACTTTGTTCCAAATCCTTATAATAACCAAAATGATGGATACGATAAATACCTGGTTCAACTTTGAATGTTTCACCAATTGACCAAATAATGGTAAAGATAGATTCAGATAACCATTGTCTTCTCCAGTGCCATCTAGTATCCCAATCACCATCAACAAGAATTGAAATCCATTGATTCTTTTCATTCAATTTTTCAATAGTTAAGAAGGTCTTTTGAGTCATTAAATTATTCTTTGGGTGACCTCCATAGAATTCAGCAGAAATAACATCTCCATTTTTGTAAACTTTTTCAGTATCAACATCTTGATATAAATCTCCAAACTTTTTACCAAAAGGAGTACTGTCAATTATTACACCAATATTGAAGGACCATTGTTTATCATAGAGATCCAATGGTTTTAGTCCTGGTGAAATTGGTTGACCTGTAGCCAATGCAGTGGCCAATTTATCATATTCTTGTTGGTAAGCTGCGAGTGTATGAGGTCCATAAAGTGTGGAAGCAGCTTCATATCTCTGAGCTTGAAATTCTTCATAGGTAGCAATATACTGAGTGTATGAATTGGACAAACCAGCAATGACACAACGAGTTGTTTGAGGCGGGAATCTCTTTGGATTTAAAGTGGTCAATGTATTACAAACAGTATTTCTCAATCTTGAACGCCGTGTAAAACAATTCTGCTCTATTGAATGAAAAACTTACCTTCTTCCAGACATGGTTGTAAATTCACCTGGTACAGGAATAATAACCAATTGACCAATAGTCATAATTTGAATTGGATTAATTTCAACAGCCCATGGATAAGGGAATTGAGCCAATCCTACATCTAACAAGATTGGTTTTGGAGATTGACATAAAATTTGTTCTGGAGTTGGTTTAGCAATAAAACTAGAAACGAAATTCCAGAATGGATTTCCCTTAGTTGAGTTATCACCTTGCTTGACTATTTGAAAATATAAGAATAATCTCATCGTTTTAAAAACTTACATGAAAAATCACCAGGACCATCGGTGGTACCTGCAGCAAATGAATAACCAAGGGCTCCCTTACATGTCTTTCCAACTTGTCCAGTACTTGTATATTTTGGACCAACAGTAATATCAGACATGTTGAGATGAGTATGTCTAAAGTCAATTGGACCACTCAAAACAATTGAATTGGCCTTATCATTATATAATTTCAATGCCTTTTCAAATTGTTGTCTTCCAATAATCTTTGTCGAGTCATAATCAGTCTTACCAGGTCCTTTACCAGTGCACTTTTGAGTAGTTCCTTCACAAGTACTATCAGCTGCACATGGTGTAATTCCATCCTAATTATCATATGTTAATAATTGTGGAAATGTTCAATACTTACAGGACAAGTAGGTCCAGCAGTGTTTGGAGAAACATCACCTTCATTGGATTGACCAAAGATTGCAATAAATGGACCAACCCCAGGGAAGCTATCATTACCATTCTTATACTTTTCAAACATGTAAGAAGCATAACCCTTATTATCACCACTGATAAACATGTTGGTATTATTCATGGAAGTGCAATGAACTGCAAACCAAGCAATGGCACCAACTTCCTTTCCATTTTCATTTTCCAAACGAAGAACAACCATAGTCTTGTCAGTATCTCCATCAATTTCATAGAGTTTACGTTCTTCAGGTGGATTTAGCAAGTAACTGGTTGGGGAACGATTAATATTACTGAAGAATAAACGATCAGAATTCATATAGATACGTCCACCAGTTGACAAATTTTCATGGGCATGAACAATGGCTTGATAGATACCTTCCACAATTGCCTTATAATTTTGATTATCAAATCCAAATGTAGTCATATCATAAACTGCATAAAAACTATTCACAAATCAATTAAATCAGTTTGAAATGAAGAAACAAACCTATATCCACCAGGTCCAGAGTGAGTGTGAATAGCACTAATAGCAACATTATCCAAAGTGTACAAATCTCCATATTTTTCTTGTAATTTTGGAACAACTCCCAATCTAACTGATTGAGTTCCAAAACAAATGTCAGCACTCACAAAAACCATTCTACTCTTTGGATTTAATCTTTCAGCAATAACAAAAGCTCTAGCTCTCAAACGAAAGTGAATACCCTTTGTTCTTTGATCAACCATAGCATAACCCATCATACCTATTTTTTGTAAAGTATTATTATTACAATATTATAACTGGTATAAATTCAATATACTAACCCACTTCAGCAGCTGGTCCTGTAATATCATAAATTCCAGAACCAATCATGTAATTATTATCATCCATTGGAATTTTAATTGCACTGATCATTCCAAAACAATTTATAAAACCAATCAATACAATCATCATCATTACTATATGATTTAAATTATCATCAATAATTCAATTATTGTATAATATTATTGTTACAACAACAAGTATTGATCAACATCACATGTAACGATCGGAAGTCAATTTGATCACACAATAAAACCACACAAAACCAACAATTTACTCCATCAATAAGAAGAACATTATCAAAACATACAAAATCTAGTCAATGATGTTGATGATCGGATCCTCATCACCTGATTCTCAACAATAGATTTCATCCTCTCCAATAACACAAAAACAAGCCACTTGGTTCTTTTAATTTTTTAGTAAGATGTTTTAAGTGGTGATGGACAACATGATGTTTGAATTGTGTTGTGGGAATCAATTTTGAAACCTCATGTTGTAATGAGCAGGTCAGATAATTGGATAGAGGATATGCGAAGCAAGGTTTCGAATAGGGCTTTTTGTAAGAGGACAATTAATCGGGTAAATGAATTAGCTTTACAAAAACAGGCATGAAAATAATTGTTTAATTTAATATTATTAATCCATTTCCTTGTTTCCTGAAACAAGAAGCATTCCATCATTTGAAAATTTTCGTTGGAAAGTGGAATAAAGTGAACCGAAATATTGAGTGGAATTATTGGATATCACATGATTTTTCTCCACCATCTTCACAATCAAATAACACGAATGTTAATAATAATAGTAATACAGTGGAAGGTGTTACAACATATGATGGAAATTGAATTCTAGTATTTTCATGCATTACAGGATGTTCCAAAATATCAACGAATTCACTATTTTTTGGCGGGAACACATTTTCCATAAAATATCAGAAATTGAATGATGAAAAGATCAATCAAAAAAAAATCAACACACATTAATATGAGCAAGCCAACCAGAACACACAAATTACCAAGCTACTTGGAAGATTATGTCGTTGGAGAAATTGATCTGAGAAGAAATTATTCCTCTCCATCCAAATCAAAATCCAAATCATCTCCAGCCAAGACATCAGTTAAATCTCCTTCACCATCAAAAACTACACGATCATCATCATCCTCATTGAAACAAACAGCAAAAATCTCCACATCACAATCCACACAGAAGAGAATTAAACAATCAACTAGTTCTACTAAACAAAAGAAGGAGCTCGTTAAAAATTCTATTAGAAATCCATCATCAAGTGCCTCTTCATCGAGTGTACAAACTGTTAATCCATACAATGATTTCTCCAATCCAAAATTTAAAGTTTTTACTTCGATATCTGAAGCCAGAGACAAATTAATTGAAAAAACACCTGGAAATAATATTTTGAAAGGATCAGATGATGCTTCTAAATGGTCAATCTCCTCAATTGACTCTACAAAAACATGGAAGGGTATTTCAGTTTCTAATATCCTACAACATTGTAATTATATTCCTGGTAACAATCACAAATTAGATACAACTGGTAGTGAAAGAGTTCCATCTGTACAAATTTGTTTCTCATTTGATACCACAATTTCAATGACAAATTATATTAATAATATGAAATTCAAGTTACAAACTATTTGTCAACAATTAATGAATGATATTCGTGGTTTAGAAATTGCTTTAATTGCTCATGGTGATTATGAATCATGTAAGGATAGTGGATCATATGTCATGTCCAAGTTGGATTTCACAACTGATATTGAACAAATTGTTTCATTTATTCAATCACTTGATAAGACAAATGGTCATGATTATGCAGAACTTTATGAATGTGTTATTAAGGAAGCTCAATCTCTTTCTTGGGTTCCAATTGAGAATAGTTATACAATTCGTTCATTAGTTGTAATTGGTGATGCATTCCCTCATTTACAAGATGAATGTTTCAATATTGATTGGAAAGTTGAAGCACAGAATTTATTTGATAATAATCATGTTAAAATTCATGCAGTGAAATGTGGTAATTTAGAAAAACCAAGACATGAATTTTACAAATTAGTTGCAGAAGAAACAGGTGGTACATCATACAAATTAGATAATTTTGAAAAGACAATTGAAATGTTCTGTGGTTTAATTTATAGAGAAGCTACTGAACATAATATGAATGATCCAACAATGCAAGCTCATATTGATGGAGCTGCTTCAGGTGAAATTACAGTTGTTAAGCCAACTATGAGAATGGAAGATGAAAATGCATCAACATCGACGGCTCCACAAGATTCATCATCATTCTCTGATGGTTACATTGTAACAGATGATGACATTTTAAAGATTCACAATACTATTCATGACCCAAATCAAGATCATGTGATTATTAATAATTTATCATTTGCAACTCAAATGAATGACAGTTCATGCAGATATATCAGAGTAGATGGCGTCGTCTATATTGAACAAAATAAGGAAAAGAAGACCAAGTATGCCAAAATGGCTTTAGAAGGAAAGAAATTAACTTGGATTTGTCATGCTGGTAATTGGGGTCTTATTATTGATGATAAAATTGAAAAACGATAAACTTTGTAATATATTAAACAACTTGAATTATTTTAATTTTGATAGGTCTATTGGGTTACAATCTCTTTTCGTTCAAATTCATTACAAAAAAATGGCTCAAGAAACTTCTTCATCATATTGTGAAGTGTATTTGACCCGACATGGAGAAACAAATTGGAATTTAATGGGAAAATTACAAGGACACACTGATATTGAATTGAATGAAAAGGGAGAATCACAAGCAAGAGAATTAAATAATATATTTTCATCATTGAATTTTTCTAGAATTTATTCATCCGATTTGAAACGTGCAAGCAAAACTGCTCAAATTATTGTTGGAGATAAATATCCACAGATTGAATATTGTTCAAAATGGTATGGGAAGTTGGGAAGGAAGATTGGTGAGTGAATTGAGAGCTTTCGAATTGGAGAATAGTAGTGAGATGGCTCATAGAACTGCAGATAAAGAAGATTTTCTTAACCACAGATGGGATGAAGGAATTGAATCAAACAATGAAGTATATGAAAGATTGACAGGATATTTGAAAGAAATTGTTTCAGAAAAACAACTTTATGGAGACAGAATTCTTGTTGTTACACACGGTGGTGTATTGAACTCAATCATGTATACTTTTAATTATACAAAGGGTTATCGTTGGAAGGTTTCTAATTGTGCTTGGTTGAAAATAAGGATATCTGAAAATGGAAATATTGAATTAGTTGAATATAACAATATTGAATTGGAAAATAGTACCAATTAACAAAAAATGATAATTTGAAAGTTATAAACTAGATTGATTTTTGATCATACAGATATCAAATTATATGATCAGTTAGGAATGAGAAATAGGATTCACTAACTTCAGAGCCAAAATATTTTGAGTGAATTAAAATCGGTAGTGAGCTCAGAGGAGGGAATGACACAAGAGATAATCTCATCATGGTATGAATTTGGATACTTCTATGATTTGCCAAACGGTACAAAATGTCGCATCTATCATAGAAAAGATAGTATCTTAATGTAACAATCACAAATATTAGGAATCTTTCTGGAAAATTAAGGTGACTCTGAATAATAATCCACTCAAAGTATAACACTAAGGAGGTGGTTATAAAATTGGCAACTGAAACTAATCCATTTTGGAGAATTTTGGTAAGAAGTAAAAAGGGATATCTAGTTAAACCGTAAAATATTAGAAGGAGTGGAATTCTGACTTGAATATTCAACAATTCAATGAAATTAAATTGTTCTATTTTCCAAATTAAATACATCAGAATGAGTGCTGTCGACACTATAGAGAGTGTACTGATGATTTGTATCAAGGCTATTTTCAAAAAGCATGGTAAGACATTCATTTCAATTGAAAAATCAAGTGATAATAATTGATTATCTATGTCATGTTTAACTTGTTGCAAATGAGATCGAAACTCTAACTCAAACACATGGAAGGAAACATGGATCCATAAAATGATTCCAAGAGTCCACATATAGCAATAAGTAAAATCCCAATTAGCTATATAACATCCATATGTGGTTAAAATCAATAGTAGAAAAATAGCATGATTACATAACTGTAATCTAATATCTGCAATATAATTTACAGGCATAATCTTGGAATATTTCTTTCTGATTTTCTTGTGGAACTGAGATATACCATTGGAAATTATGTGATCTTTCCAGTGGTGAAATAATTTTACGTTATGAATCAAATCTCTCCATTGTCCACAAACATGTGACACGTCTACCAAATACTCGACTGGTAAGAATGAAAATATTTCATGTAATTCATCATTAGCAAAAACACAATTTCTTGTATTATTTAAATCATTGAAATTTTCCGAATATTCCAAAATATTTCTATTGCTGATATTTACATTTTCCTTTCCAATTATCATCAAATCCGAAACTCTATTTTCCTTCCTAACATCTTTTTTGCTTTTACTATAATTATTAGTCGTTGAGGTTGAGCACGATACAATTAAATTACTTTCAATCTGTTCCTCCCTTTCCGAAACAGTTATTCCAAATTCCTGATCATCACGATCATCAGCCAAAGCTATCGAGTACTCAAAATTAGTAGTAAAATTCGGAGAGGTGTGGTCATTGGAAAGTTTCTGAATTTTTTCTAGTTTTTCCGTCTTGTGATCACTCTCACTCTTTCTTTTCATTTTTTTTTGATGAGTTTTTATTAAGGATTTAATAACAACTAAGTGATGATTTCTATTTTTTGGTGTTTTACAGATTTTGTTCGAATTTCAACTTCTCACTTTTTTGTAATGGTTGAGCTTTACAATGCCAAGTTGAATCTTCCAAATAATAGATTAAAAAAAAATGTCTCAACAACTAGATCACCTCCCTCGTGAAATTCTCACATACATCTTTTCCTATTTTCTTCCGTCAGGAGGGTAACTCCAAAATGGTGTGTGTTGGTGGTGGTAGGTGGTTTCTGGTACTGTTTTTGGTTGTTGTAGTTGTAAATTGTTGCTGGTGGGGCAAATAAAAGCCAACCACACCAACAGTTTCCCGCTACGCCAATGGTTTCCCGCCACGCCAAAACCTATTTGCCCGGGCCAACATTAATTGGCCGCTCCAACAAAACAAAGCCAATACTAGTCAAACCAAACCATTAAGCATCGAAAGTGGGTGGCGGTTTTCTACTTCTTTTGTTACCTGATACACCCTTTTGGTATTCTTTTGAAAGTGTGACTCTTTTTGCGTCTTCATCATTCGGTGAGTAATATCCTTTCCTTTTTGTTGGATGATTTCGTTTGGATTTTGATTGAGGACTTAGTGGAATTTCTAATCTTGATTGAGATCTTGGTGGTGTTTCTGATTGAGGACTTGATTGAGATATTGGTGATGTTTCTGATCTTGATTGAGATCTTGGTGGTGTTTTTGATTTTGATTGAGATTTTGGTGGAATTTCTGATTGAGGATTTGATTGAGATTTTGGTGGTGTTTCAGATCTTGATTGAGGACTTGATTGAGATCTTGGTGATGTTTTTGATTTTGATTGAGATTTTGGTGGTGTTTTTGATCTTGATTGAGATTTTGGTGGAATTTCTGATTGAGGGTTTGATTGAGATGTTGGTGGAATTTCTAATCTTGATTGAGATCTTTGTGATGTTTCTGATCTTGATTGAGATCTTGGTGGTGTTTCTGATTGAGGGCTTGATCGAGATGTTGATGGTGTTTCTGATCTTGATTGAGATGTTGGTGGAATTTCTGTTCTTGATTGAGGACTTGATGGAATTTCTGATTGAGGATTTGATTGAGATCTTGGTGGTGTTTCTAATCTTGATTGAGATCTTTGTGATGTTTCTGATCTTACTTGAGATCTAGGTGGAATTTCTGATTGAGGATTTGATTTTGGTTTGGATATTGTAATATCTTGGCTGGGGTTAAATTGTGGAAAATCAGAAAGACTAAAAGTACGCTCAAGTTCTTCTTCTAATTCTTCTTCTGTCATCTCTAACACTCTATCCAAATAATCTTGTTGTTTTTTAAGAGAGTCTCTGGAATATTGTAATTGCTCTTGCAATACCGGTGTTGGAATTAACTTTTTGTCAGTATTGAACTCAAAATCAAATTCTTTGTTTATCCACAATCTGTGCTTGGTTTGTGTCTCAACATTAAACTTCTTACAAAACTTTAAAACATTAACCAATAACAAACACACTTTGAACTGTAAATTCCACTTTTGCTCCATTTCAGCAACACAAGAGGCATGATTTTTGTTTGAAAAATATTCAAATTTCTCAGCCAAAAATGAAAACAGAGTCTCTATGGTTCCTCGAAAGGCACCAAATTTCTCATTATAAGCAGCCTCTGAGTCGTCAAAAGGGATATTTCTTGATTTTCTAATAGGTGTACGGAAATTGTCAAGTCCAAACTCTACTCCTTTTTCTTGTAAACTCTCAACATAATCGTTCATTCCTAAAAAGTAACCACCATCCAAAAAAACAACATCATGATTTGTCATATCGACATTATTATGTATGTCCATAATTGTAAACATTTTCATGTCTGTATTGGCCTTACATGCTTCTGATTTGGATACAGCTAAGGTAAATTCATTAACATCCATTAATACCTGGGTTCTTAAACCAGAATTTTTGAATTTAAAAGACCAATAATCAAATCTAGAATAGGTGGCCAGGTTATTATATTCAATTCTTGTGTCATGACCATCAAGGAACATGGTTGCAAACAAAAAATCCTTATCATTCTCCAATTTGGCTGTTACACTTCTGAGAATGTGTGAGGAAAACATTTTGGCCAATAATTGGTCAACTTTGACATTAAGTTCATCTCGATTATCATCCCAAATCTGATCAGCAACTCTTCTTATGGATGTTGATGGAATGATTTCTAAAGAATCCAACTCATCAGCTGACTTGTTTTTAACTAGCATGTATAGAATAATTAAATACAGTTCAGATTTTCTATAGGGGCCCTCTGGAGTTCCACAAATACTTGCCATCAAATTCAAAAACATATACACAGGCACATACCCTAATCTTTTTAGGAGTACCTCTTTGATGTGATCAATAGTGCGAATATCTTTAGCTTGCTTTCTGGTTTTCTTTTTTTTGGTCAACACTGGAAGTTCTTCGAATACCATATTCCATTCTTGCTTTAATAATAATTTCTGAACAATTTTATCCCGAAGAAGTTTAAGTTTGTTGCGAGAGTATTCATCAGAAAAGCGTTGAATATCAGTGTCTTCCATTTTTTTGAATTTAAACAAATGACCCTGCTACCACCTCTACACCTGTAGCAATTTAGGCGGCCAAATGTTGTTGGTGCGGCGAAATGTTGTTGGTGGCCCGCCCAGCCATTGGTGGCCCGCTCAGCCATTGATTGTTCGAATTCTCTTTGGTTGTTGAAGGAACCGTCTGATGTTGGCAGATCCAAACTAAGTCGAAACCTCCAACATACCCATTGACCACCATTGACTTTGGACTTACCCTCCAGGTAAACTATTCGATGACACAAATCTTTGGGAACAAATTGCAAAATACATGTTACCACTCCTACACACCTGTTCAACATTTAGAAGAGTGATAAGAGAGGAAAATTACGAATTGTGGAAAACATGTTTTGTTGATCTGAGATGGGATTATTTATCAGATTCTATTTACCATCGAAATGTTGGTACTATTCTTGATGAGGAAATATTTTCACAAACTTATGATGAAATGATGGAATTGTTGAATGTAGTGATGGGTGGAAGTCAGGTTGTTAAGAAATTGACGATGGTAAAAGTTCCAACAAGTTATGTGGAAAATGGTCAAGAAAAGTCTTGGCTAACAAGAATTTTGAACGATTTCAAAAATATTGAAAAGTTAGTTTGGATGGATTACGATTTTAAAAACGATGAGCTTTCTAATAGAAGTCTAAAATTTGACAAGCTAAACAGTCTTTCAATATATTCAGATAATTTGGCACCCATTGCTTCTCTAGTTTTAGATAATGAGAATATTACTGATTTGAATCTTTCTCTTTCTTCTCTAACAGATTTGATAATGTTTAAAGATAAGAACTTTAAAACCTTTGAGCTCACTAACTGCGTCAATTATGAATCAATAAGAGGAAATTCGGAAATTTTCAAATTCTTTTCATTTTTGTCTACAACTAATATGATCCCTATTGAACTATTTACTCATATTTATTCTATTTCCTGGAATTGTGATTCCATATCAATTAATAATACTTTTAGATCTGACGTTTTGGCTGGTTTGGAATTGGAATGCGTAAATTTAGAAATGACAGATTTAATTTTGCCAAACCTGAAAAGCTTAAGCTTGAAATCTGTTAAATCATTGACCTATAGGAATAACAAGCTCAATATTGAACAAATGAATATAGAAAATATAGATACAACCCTCTTGGAATGCCTTCCTGTAGCTGGAGTTGTAAAAGCAAGATTTTGTTGTTTACAATGTGTTAAGATTGAAAGGAATATGTGGAATTCTATTGAGGAGCTTGGTTTTGATAATATTGAAGAAGTGCATGTGGATATCGACAGATTGGAATCATTCCGAATGGCAAGAGTACCGAATGGAATAGTAAGGGTAGAACATGTTAAAGAATTAGTACCACCTCCAAAACCTTCCTCAGTTAAAATACACATAGACAGTGTGGACGAGATTGAGTTAGTTGAGACCAATGCTGCTTGTTTAGAGCATATTCATACCATCAAACAAGTCGTTCTTACTTTGAATGATGGAAAATTGAAAAGAGCAGCATGGGACTATATCATGAAAATCAACTGTAAAGACATTAGAATTAAATGTTGGAGACCAATAATGGAGATGATCATTGATTGTACAAAATATGATATCAAATCAATATCATATGATGAATGCTTTGTGAACGGCGAACCTAAGATGAACAGGTTTACAACAGCCTTTAGTCATGAGATTAGGAAATCGGATATGAATATTGAAACATTATCTAATTTGAGTTTTAGATCATCCCAACCATTCTACTTCTCTATGGAATTGAATAGTGTGCCAGTATTCGAAAAGTTGACTTCCTTAAGTTTAGCACTTTGTCAGGTTCATTTCGACCTCTCCATACTACCACAGTTAAATTACTTTTCTCTTTCAGATGGGAAAGCAGGTTCCAAAATTTTCATAACCAAACCACATCCTGCTTTGAAATTTGTTTTCATCTCACAGTCCAGTGTCCACCTTAATTGTGTGATTGATTGTCCACAGCTTAGAGAATTCATTCTTTCGAAATTAAAACTAGACGAAAATTCACGTATTGAGATTAACAACCTACCAAAAATACTTACTTTCTACATTGATGATACTAAAGAATATTTAGAAAAAGGTCAACTGGTTATTAAAGATTCCATCAGATTTTAATCCTTCTTTATTTTACCAACAATGACATATCTCTTCTTGTAAAAACTAATCCACTGATTGAGTGTATTCATTTCCTTCTCAGTCAAACCTTCCAAACTTCCATATGGTTCAAGATCAGCAGCATTGACACTTGACTTGGCAAGAGCTCTAGTAGCATCAGTTCCAGCAAAAATACTATATCCAGTTCCTGGTTGATACATGTGTCTCTTTTCTTCGTTAACTTGGAAGACCAAACCTAAAATCACAAAATATTAAATTAAAATTAGATAATGAAATTTGTGGTTAGTTTTTGTGATGATGAAACTTACCATTGACTCCGATCCAGATTGGTAAATCATTTTCACCCTTGTGTTGGGCAAGTTCTTCCATAGCAATATCAACTTCAGGAATTGGTTGGTTTGATAAATCAACTTCAGTCATTCTTATAAACTGTGGTGATGAAAATCAATTAAATTGTCTTGTTAGAATAATGGCTAACGTTCTTCAATCATGCAATACTCACATTTTTTTTAATTGATTTTAAACGGAATTATGCAAACGGACCTTTATTAGCAACAAATCATGATCCGATTTTAAAATAGTTAAGGAAGCGCTTCACAGTTATTTTCCTAGAGTTTATTAATCATCCTTTGGAGCAATTGAAATGGCATCACCTTGTTTACACAAACTCACACCAAAGTACCATCTCTTATTTTCATCAATTAATCCCTTGAATGCTTGGGCGATTAACTTGCCATTCTTAAAGTAATTGAGAGATGCATGTTTAAAGTCAACCAACATGCCTACCTTATCTCCAACTTCCCAATCAACTGCAACTAATTCTTCAACAGATCTGCCTCCTGTGTACAATTTCTTATCAGTCAATGATAGAGCAAATGAATCAACATATTGGCTAGATCCTATTACATTATTGTCAGTAGCAATAATACTATCATATTCTTCAGTAATAACACCAAAGAACATGACACATTCCTCAGTCATTTTCTCTATTTTGAATTCAATATAATTATTATGTATGGAAACATAATTACTCAATCTGCAGGTAGTACCCCAAGCTGTCTCTTTTGCTTCCAAATGTTTCTTATCTTGTGAAATTAGACAGTTAGGGTTGCAAGCTTCACAAAATTGATCTATTTGATCCATAGGCTCTTCTGATCTAGATTCTTCTTCAATCATGTTTGGTTGTTCAGCAACAAGAGCTTCTAAATTTCTCAATTTTTGCAATTGCAATGTTTGAATAATAAGTTGGGTAAGTTCAGTAATTCTATTTTCCAATTCTGTGATTTGATTGCTTTGTAACAAGTATTTGTGTTCTAACAATGTGTTCTTGAGTTCAAGTTTTTGGATAACTTGTCCAAAATAGAAGTTTTTACGAAGTAATTCCTCAATCATGACCTTTTCATTTCTATCTGATTCATCAAGAATAAAAGCAACTTTAACAGTCAAGAAAACAGCCTTCAACGAAATATCAACAACAAGAGAGCATTTTTCACTTAATACTTCGCTCAAAGCAGAAGTGACATCCTTCATCTCGGCAACAGGAGTGCTCAAAGGATAAGCTTGTGGAGTGAAAAATAATTCAATAGAAAGGGTCTTTTCCTCTCCTTTGAAAGCATTGGTAATCATTTGATAAATAGCATCTACGCTTAATTTTGTTCCTTGTTTACTAATTTCGTTTGCAACTTCTGGTGTAATATTTAATTTCCAAATTCTTCCGGTAGCAGCTTCCTTTAATTGCACGGAGAGTGTATTTGTATCTTTTTGTAATTTACATTGAACAGAACCGATCAAATTATCAAAGCCAAATTGTATTTCCTCTCGGAGAGTTGATTGATCAACATTGGTACTTGGTGCTTGACTCATTTTTTTTGTATTAAATATGGATAATAATACACTCATCATACAAATCATCAATGATCTAATCTCATTATTATATCTTTTATTTCTATTACCTATTTGCCAAATATTAAATATTAAAAAAGAAGACATTTATTAGTAAGGAAACTAGTTTTAAATCGAACGCTGAAAGAGTATCAAATATTTCACCTCGAATACTAGAATATTATTCGGTTGGTAAATGGATCAATAAGACCTTCTCAAAGTATTGGAAAATGTATTCTTTAAGATGTATTCCAAATCGTTCAAAATTTTGGCGGCAAAGTTAACTAAAAAAAATTGCCTCAATAACTGCTCACAACAAACGTTCTCCACCTCTTCACCTAGGATTTGTATGAAATGGAGATTGTATATTGTTATAAAAAGAAAATTCGTGAGCTGGGGCAGCCCTATGAATTTGAGGATTCCGAACCAATAATTTTAGTAAATATCAAACCTGAAGAAAAGATCCGAACATTAAATTATAAAGAAAGAGACCCTTGTCATATCGGAATTCAAGCTGCTCCTGAATTAAGTGAACATGCTGTAAATACACTCACTAAGAATTATTCAAATTCTGGAATGGTCCACACAGAAGGTGGTTGGCCTAAAGATGTAAATGCTTTGGACGTGGATGCAAAAAAGAGACATCAAAAGAAAATAGAAAAGGATGATAATTATATTAGATCAACACAAACACTTTCCAATGAAATGATGAGAAATTTATCACTCAATACTGCTCTGAATGTTTATGAGCATTATTTCGATTCCGATGAGAGCGAGGCAGCTCTCGATGATCAACTCATACAAGCAACAACATCAAAACCGACTGCAACTGTTCTGACAATTCTGAAAGATCCTTCTGAATTCAAAAGAACAGCCAACCATATTGCTTGGAGTATGGGTGATTCAAAAAAGTTAGCTGTTGCATACTTTGTACCACAATCACAATCATTGACGGAGCAAATTGATAAGAATTCTTATATTTGGGATATCAGAAATCCAAATACTCCTGAAATGGCCTTATCGCCTACATCACCTTTGAGTTGTTTAGAGTTTAATCCTAAAGATTCTACTTGCTTAATTGGAGGAGCCAGAAATGGTTGTTTATATGTTTTTGATACAAGAAGAGGATCAAATCCTGTTGAATATACATCAAGTCATGCAAGCCACAAAGATCCTGTCTATTCTGTAAAGTGGATTCAAAGCAAGCAATCAACAGAGTGTGTTAGTATTTCTAGTGATGCACAAGTATTATTTTGGGATGTAAGAAATTTAACAGAACCATTCGAGAGGAATACTTTGGAAATTATACAATCTAAGATTTATCAGCCTCAAAAATTTGGAGCCTTATGTATGGATTACGACACTTCATATAGCGTAAGTATTTCAATTATTCAAAAAGTCATCTTAGTTGGAATATTAGACGTCTAAATTATTGATTGGATCGGATAGAGGACAAGGAATTATTTGGAATAGGAAAGCTAGAAAGGGAGGAAAAGAAAAGATTGAAAGAGTTTTTCTTGGACATCACAGTTCAATATTTGCAATTCAGAGGTGCCCTTTCAATCCAAAATATTTCCTGACTATTGGAGATTGGAGTGCTAGAATTTACTATGACGATATCTGGAAAACACCGATTATGGAAACTAAATATTGTGACTCTTACCTGACGGATGGTTGCTGGTCTCCTACAAGACCAGGAGTCTTTTTCACATCAGCTGTGGATGGCACATTCAGTGTTTGGGATGTACTTCACAGTCAATCTAAGCCAGTTGTTAATTTGCATCTTACTTCGAGTTTGCAATGTGTGAGCACTGCAAATGGAAGACATATAGCTGTAGGTGATAAGGATGGTGGAGTTAGTTATATTGAATTAAGCGATGATTTAAGTGGCTATTTTAATGGTCAACCTAGGACAGTAATTGATGAAAAGAATGCAATCAATGATGTAAGTTTCTAAAGATTGAATATACTAAACATATTTAATAGATGTTTGAACGAGAAACAAGAAGAGAGAAAGTTTTAGAACAAAAAGTTAAACCACAAGAGGGATCAGAATCAATGATGTCAGCTTCATCAGACTCACTTGTCAGATACTTGTCCCCAAGTGAACAAGCCTTAGACTCATATTTCGAAGAAGAAGTAACTCGGCTCGGAATTTCAACCATTAAATAATTAAATTAGTGAGTTTATTGATCCTTTGGTACTTCAACGTGAGCGATGAATTTCTTGTTAAAGTGAATATTCTTTTCCATGAGCAAACGACATCTAAAGAGAATTAAATTTCCATCATTTAAAGATTGTTGTTGTAATAATATTAAATAATCAATTAAAGTTGTTTCAACAATTAGTTAATAATAATAATTTAAATATAATATTGTGATGATGATGACAAGATTAATAATTTCCGCACTTGAACACATTAAACACTTACTCTGTCCAACCCATACCAAAACCAATACCGGCACCAAGTCCAAAAGCAGCGGATCTTCTACCCTTCAAAAGAACAAAAGCAGGGACAACAGAGGCCAACAAACCAATGGTTGTCTTTTGGAGGATGTTTTCAAGGCAATGTTCCAATTTTTCGTCCTTTAATAATTCGGATGGGACTTTATCAGTACTCATTTTTTATGATTGTATGTTTTAAAAGGAAAATATTGATTGGAAAACAAAAAGAGAGTGAAAGAAATAGCAGATTTACAGGATAATTATTGAATAATACTATTGAATTATTAAATATTTAATTTTTAATTATTATTAATTGATTAATTTGTTTAAATCAAATTAACGTCTTTTAAATATAGATAAAAAATGAGTCAAAAGTCAAAGCAGGCAGCATTGTCGTGTTTTGAATTTCTGCACATGGAAATGATCGAATATGTAGTGAATGATCTGTGTAAAAATTCTAAAGAAAAAGCCTATTCTATAGTTGAACGTATGGGATATAATGTAGGATTACGAATTGCCGAGAAATTGACAAAGGATAGAACAACCCGATTTAATGATGATCTTGATATTATTAAATTTATTTGTAAAGAATTTTGGGCTGAAGTTTTTAGAAAAGGTGTAGATAATTTAAAAACCAATAATAGAGGAACATATGTACTAAATGATAATAGATTTTTATTTCTTTCGCGATTTGCAACATCAAACCCTGATGAAACAAATAATGCTGCAAAGGATTATGTAGTATTTGCTTGTGGTGTTGTTAGAGGAGCATTGACAGTATTAGGAATTGATGCATTTGTGACAGCTGAAATTAACACTGTGCCTGTAGTATTATTCAAAATACAGAAAAAGTAATTTAACAATGTACTAATATATTTAAAATACAAATAGTAATGTATACAGATTTTAATAATGATTATTGACCTACAAAACAAGGCAAGGTTTTGGTTTTGGATCAATCTTCTTTTTTGGATTTACATGAGCTTCTATAACTGTAGTGAAAACTTCCTTCAATCCTGATTTGTTTCGAGCACTACATTCACAAAATTCAAAAGCGTTAATTTTCTTTGCTAATTCTTCTCCTTCTTTTCGGGTTATTGGTTCTGTTCCTTCTCTTTTAAGTTTTTCAATTTCCTTCATATCGTCTCTAAGATCTATTTTGGTGCCAACTAATACTACTGGAGCAAGAGGAGCATGTAAAGAAATTTCTGGATACCACTTGCCAGAAGCATTTTCATATGATGTTCTACTAACTACAGAGAAGGCTATTATAAAAACCTAATTACATCGTCCATCATCAGTTAAGGTGTAAGGGTATTGATATACTTACATTTGTATCAGGATAACTCAATGGACGTAATTTATCATAATCCTTAATAAGAGGTTAATCATCAAATAATATTTAAAAACAACTAGTATTGTTTGATTACTAAGAGTAAATTCAAAGATATTTACCTTACTTCTTGTCCTGCAGTATCCCACAAGGTTAAATTTATAGTCTTTTCCTTATATCTAACATTTGCCGAATAATTTTCTAACGACCATCAGAAACTCTACCAATATTAAACAACCTACCAAAAACCGTTGGTGTATATTTATCAGAAAACTTGTCCTCTGCGTAGGAAATAAGCATACATGTCTATGTTAAATGTGTTTGATCAGCCACCACAATAGAATCCTCTTTTAATAACCTACCTTACCAACAGCACCATCACCAACTACAACACACTTGAGTTGAATAAGATCCATTTTTTTGATTTTTTAGAGGTGAAGAAATTTGTAGTTTGAGTTATTTGTGCCTTCAAGATTGTGTGTTGTTGGAGGGTCATTAAAATCGTTCCTAGTTCCTCTCTCTCTAGCTCGACTTCGAAGAGGATAAATAATAACATTCACTACTATTAATACTTTATTCCAACACAACTTGAAGCAACTCATCCTAATTGGATGTAGAGATTAAGGGTGGTTAACTTGAGCAATACCTCAGAGGTCTTGAACACTTTGGAACAGTAGCATGCAGTTAAAACGTTTATCTGTAGATATGGGTTGGTATGTTTTGGCAACATAATTTCAAGATGGAAAGTAACTGTATTAACACATTGGACCAATTAATTATTGTGACCTTTAAAAAAACAAATGATATCACATAAACAAAAGACCACCGGTAAACTGGTCAAGAAATGTTTTCATTTGGAAACCCTCATCAATTCATGGCATTGCAATTCAGTAATATTTTCCAGTACAATTAATCGATGCGAATAGTTCTGACCAGTGGAAAATAATACCACTTCTCATATGCTCATCAACTCTTTGAAAGTTGTTCCATTCTGTTTTCCTCCGATCTCTCTTCATATCACAACAAATTGCATGGTTTTGAAAACTCTTCGAATTGAAAAAAATTGAACCAACAATAACTCGCGAGTTTTCATTGAGAGAAACTCTTGAGCAGTAATAGTAACACAAATACAGTTATTGTTGGAGTACAACAGCATAGTTTGCAAGTTTGTTATAATCAAGAGAGAAAAACAATAGAGAGTATTAATTTGGCTTTTTACCTGTGATCGATTCTTCTTGATTGTTTAGCCTTTCGGAACATTTATCATAATAATTATAATATTATATTCGGAAAATGATACAATCTATTATACCATCATCTCTGATGGAATATTCATGGAATATATTGAGTCAATATGTGATAGTTGAAGACAATTCTACGATACCTAGTAACGAAACGACAGTGTCCATAGAACAAAATGCACTCAGGTACACAACTGGAGTTAGCTCCATCTTGTCAATATTCGGATCTTCATTTATTATATTCAGTACAATACTGTTTACAATACTTTCATGGAGAAAACACAAGAAATCTAGAAAGAGAAATAATTATAGAATGACAGCTATGAATCATCGGTTGGTGTTTTATTTATCTGTTAGCGATCTAGTTGCAAGCTTTAGTTATTTGATTTCGTTATTCGGGTTGAGTTTAGAATATGAATGGTGTTGTTTCTTACAAGGGTTTTTAATGACTTGTTTTGAACTGAGTTCTGTGTTTTGGAGTACTTGCATTTGTTTACAACTGTTTTTGAGTGTCACTCCACACTTTTCAGAGGAAAAGCATAGGAGAAGGAAGATAATTCTTGAGGTTATTTTCCATTTAATTTGTTGGATTGTTCCACTATTATATACTGTAACTGTGTCACTAACACAGAAATTCAATAGAATAGATAATTTACAACAGTGGTGTTGGATTGGATTAGCTCATGATCATTCACAATTTCTTAACTTTAGATTCTTTACATTCTTGATTGTATACATTTGTGTGAGTATGTGTGCAGTGTTTTTCTTGGGAGTTTGCATTTGCTTTAGAATGCATAGAAGGAAGAGTAATAGATATGAGGTATTATCACTTAGTGACAGATATCAACAATTGGGCAAACGAACAATACTCAATTTCTCTCTTATTATGATTGCATTTTTCATTACATGGATTCCTGCTTTTATTAATCGTCTTGTTGGTAAGTTTACAAATACTTGATGTGATTTCTAATTTGGTAAAGAATCAATTATTATTGCACAATCACCAACGAGTACTACCATGATTTCTGGTATTTTTTGGTTGGATTTATTACAAGCAATTACTAATCCACTTCAAGGATTCTTGAATATGATTCTTTATGGACATCATTTCTTTTCAAAATATAAGAGTTATTGCTGTTCTAAGAAAAAGGTTAAAAAGGTCAATTCCAAATCATCCCTTCTTAGTGGAGAAAGCTCTGAAACACCTCTCAAACAAAAATCACCTGATTTTTCTGATAAGAATATGAACGAAGAGGAAGAAATCAAGTTTGGAGTTATTTATACAGAAAGACCAAAGATTGCACTCGATTCACCAAGTGCAGACAATATTGTTCCAAAATCTGTTTACTATTATCATTTGGATAATCACTATGATGATGATGAATGCTCTGAAGAAGAATCTGCTCACTATGACAATGCACCACGAACGTTCCTTCCAAATTATTTCAATAATGAGACACCATTATATTCCTCTGTGGCAAGTAGTGGTAATCAACACGGAATGAGAATAATACATCAAACTCAAGCAAGTTCAATTCTTAGTGGACCATACTTCCAAAATAATAATTCTAGAGGAAATGAAAATAATAGTAACTCTTATAGAAATAGTGCAACACATGACAGTTTGAGACAAGAATCAATAAGAATGATTCCCATTGCCCAATCAAACTCTATTTCAGGAGCTTATAACACAAGTATTGAATATAATGCAAGACTGGATGATATTTTAGATTAATTTATTATCTTAGGAGACTTAGAGGGTTTTTACCACTTGATTTGTTTCCACTGCTGGGATTATTATTGGATGAGATTTTTCTAGGTGTGATTGGTTGTTCAGTTGTGAAAATTTCAGAATAGCTCTTGTTTGGCCGTATTATCTTACTGGTATTATTATTATTAGTTTGTTGCTGATAAACACCTTCAGGCATTGTGTTTGTTTTTGGACGGAAAGTGCATTCTTCTAACTCCTTGTCTTCACTTGGACCATAGTATGATTGTCTCTTTTTTGGAGCTAGCAATCTGTTAAGAGTTTCATCTGAAATTCCATGCTCTGCACTTGGATTAATAACTTGAGGTTTAAACGAACATTCTCGCATTTCGTCTTCGGTATATGCTTGCTTCAATCTTGACAAGTTTTGTTCTCGTTTATCCTTCTCCTTATAAAGAAGATCATGAAGATCAGTAGCACTGGCACGCTTGGCTACCACAATCTCTTCACTCTTCTTATTTGTCTTAGGTTTGAAGCTACACTCAGAATCTGGCAATTCTGAAGGAGGAATATCAATTCCACTTACTTTGTGAACAGAACCCTTTTGAGATGAAAGGATTGCAGATTTAGAATCTGGTTTTTCCATTCGTTCAAAAACAGCAGCAGCAAATTCTTCAAATCCAATATCACTATCCACATCAAAGAGCTCAAAAACATCTAGCAGTATTTCTTGCAATGGTTTATCCAAAACATTAAATCTTTCCTCGCTTGAGGACAGAATATCTTTTTCAATATTTAGGAAACCATCTCCGTCTTGGTCAAGGTAAGCAAATAATTTGTAAATCTTTTTAAGCTTAGCAACCTCAGCAATCTTCTTACTGGATTCATTTGTATGCTTCTTATTTGCAAGTTTGTTCACTTCCTTATAAAATTCTTTTGAGATTAGTGACTTTGTTGTGTCAAATTGTCTTTGATATAGTTCATCATATACATTTTGGGTCTGTCTATTACCACCTGCTGATTTAGGCCTCTTGTTAATTACTGGTTTGAAAAATTCTCTTCCAGTATCAGGATCAAAGTTGGAGTTCAATTGAACTCTTAATTGTGAAATTTGTTTTTCAACATTTTTCTTACTGTTTACAAGCTTGTCTATATGTTCTTGACTTGGTTTACTTCCTTTAGATGGAGGTAGGGACATTCTAGCAGCCTCTTGTTGCATATGTTCAATTCTAATTCTCCTCTTTTCTGCATCCTTGAACAGTGATTCGTGAGCTTGTGTAATGGATGGATTTGGATTTGCTTCAGAAAGAAATTCCTCATTTCTTTTTTGCATTGCAATCATTGAAGACTTGGCATTGATTTTTGGTTTGAAAGGGCATTTCTTTTCTTCATTTTCAGCATAGGCTATCACATTTGCCTTGAATGAGTTTGCTGCATGACTTCCCCTTATTACTTTAAAGTTTGTGTTAATTTGTGGCTTGAATGAGAAAACATCCTCCTTAGCCTCCTCGAGTCTCTTTAATCTTTCCTGTTCCAATTGTTGACGTTTTTGATTTTCCTTTCCTTCGTTATATAAAAATTCTCCATAATTTTGATATCTTTCCTTTGCTCTACTTCTTTCAATCTCTTCCACAATCTTTTTACTTGTTTCGCTCATTGGTACCTTTGTTTCTTGAATCTTTTCATCTTCAGTTTTGGTAAGTTCCATCTTTATCCTTAATATTCTTGCTTCCTTGAATTTAGCACTTTCGTGCAATCTTTCGTGTATCGGCTATAAATGAGTATCGGGTTAGTAAATTAAATTTTATTTTTAAATAAAAACCTTTTTGTTTTTAGAGCTAGATGGTGTTGAGCTCCTCTTTACAGTATCCACAATTTGTTGCAAATCGTCATATTTGTCAACCTTATTATATTAATAAATATATGAAATTAAATTTAACATACCTTATCTGTTTTCTTTGATACAGGACTTCTACTATACACGTTAGATTGGGAACTTTTAATCATGTCCATTGTTTTTTCTTTCAATACCTTTTCGACATTGAACTTAATATGCTCAGCAAGAGGTTCAATAACATCAGCAATTAAGCCATGTTTGTCTTGAAACTGTTTTGCCAAGTCTACATATGAATCTTCTTCTCTGACTGTAATAGTATCAGACCTTCCATCACCAATATCGACTGTCATTAAAAGAATAACTCTTTCTACGCAGTGTTAAGAATCGGCGCAATAGTACAACTTACTTTGTTGAGAATTTGACTGAAGTAAGGAAATCAAGTCTCTCTTCTTTGGAGAAGATTTGCTGGATTCAAAGAGTGTGTTATCATCGGGAGATTTCCATTTTTCTCTTTTTTCCAATTCCCTCTTTTCCACTACTTTTCTTTTTTCTTCTGATTGTTGAAACAATTCCCGACCTTCCAGAAGCTTTTTTGTTTCATTTTCAAGCAATCTTTGTTGATCATCTTGAAGTTTTGTTATTTCATATTCCTCGGCTTCTCTAATTTGTTTTTTAAGCTTTGCTTCTGCTTGTATCTGCAATTGATGAAGCTTATTATAGTAAGCTTGCATCTTTGAGCTTGATCCTCTGTGGTCATCATGTTCCATAAGTAACTTTTTTAATTCTTCATTTTCTATCTTCTTTGTTACTTTTTCATTAATTTCGTTTTCATATCTTTTAGCCATAATCAATTCTTCTTTGATGGCTTTTTCCTCTTCCTCCGTTAAGGAGAGAGCTTCAAAATGTTTGCCCAAAGCCAATTTCCTTCTTACCTGAGGATCTCTCAGCTAAAAAAAACCCTTTTAGTGTTCATAAATTTAATTTACGTACCATTTGATCAAAGAGAACATCTGAGGAGGGTGCGTCCGTCTTTGATAAGGACGAACTGATTTTGTTGAGGCTCATCCCTTTTGTTTTATTTTTTTTAATGTAACTGCACCTTTTGTTTTGGCGCCAACTGTAAATCAGCTGTCGTTACAGTATTTTGAATGTTGAAAAATTGAAATAATTTTATTCTTCGACAATAGTAAACTTGCTTGTATATCTAGAGTCATACTTCTTAGGAACATTAGAATCGTTCAATACACCAAGAGTTTCTCTGAAGAAAGATAAAACTTCAATAAATTCCTTGTGCATCTTTAACATGTAATGTCTTCGCTTTTGAGTTTCTGGACGTTCACTATCCTTTAATTGAGATTCTACGTGAGCCAAATCTTGTCTCAATTCTGATTCAATATATTCACGACGTGGATTATCTTCAGCTGGAGATGTGGAAAGAGATTCTAATTGACACTTGATAATTTCACGTTCAATTTCTTGATATCTATTAAGTCTGCCATCGACTGAGGCTTCGAAAAAGTCTTTGCTTTCATCCAAATTGTGACAAATTTCATCTAAACCCTTGCTATATTTGAACTTTTCTTCTTCGGTTAATTCTGGAGGAGCTTGTGGAACGACACCCTTGAAGATTTTATCAACTGGCAAATCAACAATAGTTTTATAAGCATAGTAATCCAAGTGTTGTTCTAACCATTGACAAATTTTAACAATTTCTTGTGACCAGATGTGTAAATCATAATAGTGTTTTTGTGTTTCTTCAAGTTTAGCTTTTTGTAATTCCAAATTCTTCAATTCATCTTGATAATTTTCCAAATATTCTCTAAACTTCAAGTGACCTAATAATTCATCATGTAAATAAATTAAAATTATTTGATGATTAAAAGATGATCGGAAGATAAATACTAACCTTTGAATTTTTCATACTTTTGAAGAGCAGCAATTTGAGCCTTACATTGTTCTTCATCACCATACAATCTCTTCAAACTTTCTTTAACATTTTCATATTGGTCTTTCTTTGCTTCAGTACCTTTAGCATAAAATCCGGTGATAATGGCAGTGGTTCTTCTCAACTTTTGATATTCGGCAATACTAGGAATATCGGATCTATCTTCAAATTCCTTCATCAAGGCTTCCAAAGCATTAGTAACAGCGTTATCAGATTGTTCTCCTTGTGCTTCTTCTTCGGTAGTTTCTTGTTGGGCCTTTTCTTCCTTGACACTCTTTACTTCTTCATCATTGACAGCATGGATAACAGGACAAGCATCAATAGAATCATCAGTAGTGGTAGTAGTTTCAGAGGATTGTCCAGTTATTGGACACTTCATACCGGCAGAGGCATTTCCAGAGAATGGGCAACTCATTTTTTTCAACAATTTGATTCTCTTGTGCGTTTGTCATCCAACAAATGGAGTTTTAAAATTGATTGAAGTTGGCGATTAGTTGGACAACACTGGTTGGAGTATTATTTGAATACTGTAGACGCAGTCAGAAACAGTGGCTAGTTCGAGTAAGATGATCGTATTTCTTGCTCAAACAATATGTGTAGTAGTATTTCGTTGCCTTAGTGGAAGACAAACCAGGTATTCTGACATCGGTGAGTTTGTTTTGTCTATTGATAGTTGTAGGCCATGTCATTACCAACGAAGAACCACCTTTATATTTGATTAAACCATGCCAAAGTTCTAGATTAAAACAAAGGAATAATTGCCTGAAAATATGGCACAGAAAGTCAATTCTGTTAAATTTAATTTTAAACAGTTATATATTGGTATTGTTTATTTCATTTTCTGTTTTATATTTGAGTAATTGTTATTTGAATTGGGATTGTTAATGACTCTTTCCGGTTGTTGGAAGGTTTTCTAATAATTTAAAAAGATCTTTATCATCATGGATTATTGGATAATCAAACGAAACAAACCATGCATGCACGTGATTATTATCATTTTCACTGACAGTAAGAAAATGGTAATAAGACAATTCATAACAAACCCAAACAATCACCAATTTTCAAGAGAGCTCTTTAATACTTCAGTGATGTTGTTGCCAACAATCTGAAAATAAATAACTTTCACTGACACATAAACCGAAGCTTTCAATCACAGTAATCGGCAAGAAGAAACCATAACCGTAAAAAAAAGGCAATACCCTTTGTTAACCTCTCCCATCTCCTAATTGACTTGACTAGCAAGCAGAAAGAAGAGGTTCCGGCTGAAATGAACGTAAATAGTATTGGCAGAGGAAGAGAACAACAATTTCCATCACCTTCTACATCATCGACTTCATCAAATTTTACAACTAGCAATGTAATTCCTTCGCCATCGTTATCTAGTATTCATAATTTATTATCGAGTGGTACAACTGCAGTGGTAAATAGTGGTAATTTAATGCATGTGGTGAAAGATCTACCGCAAAGCATGGGATTTTTTGCTGTTGGTACTGAGAAAACAAGAGCAAACTATCCTCTTCTTCCAGAAATTGTTTTGAGAATTGTAAATTGTGATCGTTTAATGGATAAATGTAAAGATGAAGAATCCACATGTTTTTTAAGTTGTCATATTGCTGCAACTAAACGTAGCGATCCAAGTTGCAATGATATCTTCACCTTCTCCGAATTTCCACTCAATACCAATATTAAATTGAGCGATTTAATTACTCAATCCTATACTCAAGAATTTGGTGGATGTACTCAGGCTGTCTTTAAACCAAAGGGTTTCGTTTTGAATTTACATGATACTTCTGTATATTCAAAGTTTACAATCAAATTCCAACTTATTTTGGATCAAAAGAATACCAACAAAGTTCTAATTGATCAAGTCAATACTAATTCATTTGAAGCTCCAATCATGTCTCTCACAATGAAAGAAGATTTTGATGACAATACCAAGTATATTATTGGCTCACTTGCCAATAGATCTGATGAATTAATCAAACATGGATCAAAGAAAATAGCTGCACCAGTTACAGTTAAATTTTCTCCAACTTTTTTGGATCATTTCGTAAAGAATATGAAAAAAGAGCTCTATGCACATTTTTATATTAGAGGAGAAGATGGTGATGATAAGGACATTTCTTACTGTTTAATGAAACATGACAGAATCAAGATTAAACCAAATGTATATACCTATCAATTGGATAAAAATTTAGGAAGATTGGATAATGGTGAGAAGAAACCACAAAAGGATAGATTTAGATTGGGTGTTGTTCTCTGCACAAAGTTTTTAGCTCTTCCAAGCAATAAGTTCACTAAGAGAATGCTCAAATACAAGTACCCAACTCAACCAAAATCAGATCCATCACTTTTGTATTGGATCGAAACAAAACCTTTCCAGAGTGCAAAGAGACAAGATATTTGTAAACCAAAGAGAAAGGCTCCAGAAGATCATTCTGATGAGGAAGGTAGCAATGAATCACATAGTACCCATCTTACTTCACCTCCCCAAAATCAACAACAACAACAATTGGCAACTCCTCAAATCTCACCAAAGTTAGTAACTGATTTGAAAGAAATTCTTTCTGCAAGAATACTGAATCAAATGTATGAGAAGGATCCACAAAAAAGTGCACTACTTGAGGATTTCATTCATCAAAGTCAATTGTTGTTGCAGGTTTACAATCAACTTCATAATACTAGCTCTGGATCTATTCAAATTGTTTCCTACAAATTTGACAAAATTTATCCAACTGAAGGCCATGAAGGAACACCTGTTGCTGTTATTTCATCAAAGGAATTACATCAAGACGCTAAATTTATTGTAACATTTGGAGGAACTAAGCTTTCGTATAGTGGTGGTATCACATCAAAGCACTCAATTGGTTTTACTGTACCTCCAAAACCAAATGCAAATCAAAACAGCTATGTTGTTACAGTATGTTCAAGAGATGCCTATGTCCAAGTTCAGGAACCTGAGACCGAAATGATTTTCACTTATGCTGAGGATAGGATGGTATATGAAGCTGCAGTAACAACACAAGTACAACAAGATAATACAAGTATGTTGGACTTACTGAATGGAAATGGTGCTGTAAATCAAATCCAATCACCATTCGATGATGAATTTTTAGATTTGAATGATTGCTTTACTAATGGTGATTTTAATGGAGTTATGGAATATTTCGAACACAACTCAATTTGTGATCTTGTAACAGAAAGAGATAGTGCTCACAATAGACTTCCAATGGAGAATGCCCGCAACTCTGGGCAATTAGAACTTATTGAAAAGGTTGTACCCGTTCTGTACGAATATTGGCTTGATGAATTACAAAACCTCACCCTCATCGCTAAGGAATTATTGGTTGCCAGAACTGAAAGAGAAATTAGCGTGAACCTTGAAAAGGCATCCAGAGCTCTCTCCAAGCTGAATATTGACGAACAACAAGAAGTTGAAGAGACCATTGTTTCATCACCAACCAATTCTCCATCGATCCTTATTTCTTCCTCTCCAAATAGCTTAGATCCAAAAGATTCTACCAAACTCACAGCAGGAAAGATACATAGAAAGTCATCTTTCAGGGAAATGATAACTAAATTATTTACTGTTGACAGTAATATGGCATCTGCAGATACATCAGATGATATTAAGGACATTATGACTGAGATCACAACTTCTCCAAAACACGTAATGATTGCAAAGTTTGAACCAATCACCTCCACCAAAATTTTACAAGCAACAGAGGAACCAATATTTAAGAATCCTGATTCATTGAACAATTTATCAAATCTCAAGAGTAAACTTGAGAGATTTGAGAATGAGGTCGATCCAAAGGGAATTGATACAATCGTAAAGACTCTAGGCGATAGTTCTTCAATTTTGACATCCTATTTCTTAAAGGAAAGTAATCTTACCAAACTAACTGTACAATTGAGCCTTTACCAAGAAAATGTAAAGAAAGGTTCCAAACCTTCAACAAACAAGTCTGATTTTGAAGAAACCTTCCACTGCTTTGATCTTTCAATACAATTGAATGAAAAGACGACCATCTCTTGGGACTCTGCTAGGGGAATAGCCAAGATTGTTTCAAAACCATCCATGAATAAGCTTTTTGCTGTATTTGATATTCTCACATTGGAAGGAAAGAGTGCAATTTCAAACTTTGTTCAAAAACTTTCCATGACAATTGCCTATTGGAATGTAAATCAAAACACAGATGCAACAGGTCAACAATTTATAGAGTCAATCTTATTAGAAACAGGTTACATCTCATCATGTAAACCTCTCTTTGATTCCTTCTCAAATATGGTTCTTGGTTCAAATTCTCACGACAAGGTCATTAGAAGAAAGATCAAACTTCCAAAGGACCTCAGCAAGGGATTCTCTAAAAAGAAATGGAAATTCCAAAATATTAAGGATGCTGCAGAATTTAACGAATCGCTCAACCACTTCTCTTCCTCTGAGGAAAATGAATTATTAGCCACCAATTTAGCCAAATTAGCTCAAGGATTCGAGAGGGCCTTGTTGTGGAATCAGCAACAATAAACTCCCCTCTTTTAAGCATGCATCTACAAGTTTTTCCTCTTGTTATACTTGGCAATGTCGGCCCAACTCCCAATTAACAAAGGTGTAATGCAATCAATTTGACATATCCCCTCTGCCAATTTCCGACCTCTTTTGTCAGCCAACTTTCATATTTTTCTTAACAAAATCGTTCATTGATACTACTTGAGTCTCAACCCAACTCTGAATTTTATCTTCTTGTGGTTTATGAATTAATTGTCTTGTTTATTGCTCAAGTTAATTATTATTGAATTTAATTAACAAATAATATTTCCAATTTTAAACCCAAATAATAATTTTAAAAAATATGTTGAAGAAAGTTGTTCGCGCTGTTCCTTCTACTACAAGACAGCAAACACTTGCTCGCACCTCTGTTATTGTTGTTGGTAATCATCATCATAATTGTTCTTGTTGTGCTTGTGCATCATCTTCCCGTTCATTCTCGACTAGTACTTTGCAACAAAATGAAAAACAACCAAGTCAAGAAATTGATATTAGATCATCAAACAGAGTTCAAGATATATTAAATAGTGGACAATTTAGTGTTATAGTTCCACCTGTTTCTATTCCGGAAGAAGGATTTGATTTTAATTCTTTAACAGCAGAAAAATTACAAGATATTAGAGAAAATCAACGTATTAAAAAGGCTATTTTCCACATTCCTGCTGAAGGAGAAGGAAGATTGGCTCTTGAAGAAAGATCAAAAGGATTGGCTGCTTCTGATTTGTCTCCAGAAGAAAATGAATACATGGAAGAAATTCAAAAAGAACAAGAAAAGGCTAGAAGTTTGTTAAAGAATATGATGGAAAAGGAAGGAGTTGATGAAAATTTGAAATCATCAATTCAAGCTATTTTCAACGTTGAACAAAAGTTGAAGAAACAATCCGGACAACAAAGAACCCTCAAAGTTTTGAAGGAAGCCAAGTTGAAGGGAGTGGAGGATATCAAAAGTGTAGTCTCTCAAATTAATAATGAACAAGCTACAGTTTCTAATCATACAGCTCGTGGAGAAATTCTTGGTGGAGGTGAAGCCATGAAAAGTATTTATGATCCTGGATACAATCTTGAAGATAGGTGGAAGAATATTAGATCTAGATATAGTGAAGAAGAATATAAGAGAAGTGCTACATTTTCAGAACTTCTCAAATATTTTGTTGCATTCTCAATTGCTTCATTTGTTTGTCTTGGTCTCGCTGTTCCAGGTTTCAAGAAGTATATTATTGGTATTGATAAGTCTAAGGCTGCTCTTAAGGAATAATTCTTGTTGTGCCGGGATTAAAAAAGCACATTTTGAGATATTGAACGGATTTGAAAGATTTTCTGTATAAAAGGATTGCAAAATTAAAGTTTATTATTTGCCACTAACATTTCATGAACTGATTTAAATCCTTTTTTGAGTGCTTCTCGTGTTGTGATGGAAATTGGTTCTTTACCTCCTTTTCTTCGACATGAACTACAATTACAAATTTCTCTACATACTGGACAAGACCACTTTTCATTCTTTAACACCTCTTCTAACTAATAGTAAAATGGTAAAATGATAAAAATGAAATAGTTACATACCTCTTCTCCATATCGATTCTTTAGACAATTGGAACAAAATACACCTCTTCCATTTGTAGTATTGTTCAATGATAGATTACAACAATGCTTGCAATTGGTTTTGATATCGAGAGTTTTCTGTTTACATTGATGGCATGTTGTTCCTTTCACACTATCGAATAATTTGGCTTGTTGTTTGGAAATGTACACGGTGCTTGTTGATGATTGAAGAATCTCTGTTGGACTAATTTGAATTAAATGTGGATTCTGTTTAACTTTCTTTGATTTTGTTAATCCATCTTCTTCATATCTTCTTGTACGTTTCTTTTCTACATTCATTGAGTTCTCTTTCGAATCAGCAATTGGCAACAAAGATGTACATGAATTTGGAATCAGCTGTTTGGTTAATTGATCAATACTTGGAATTTTGATCATTTCACAGCAAGAGCTATTCTCTTCATATCTAAAAGGTGCTAATTTACAATCATGTCTGAACACATTCTGTTCATTGTTAGTATTTACATTAGATTTACAATTATCACTATTAACTGAATGACTTGAATATTGAGGATAATTTGACAATGTGCTCTTATTACTCGCCATGCTACTAAAACTGACTCTCTTCATCTTGTTATAATAGTCGAGGAACTTTTTATAATCATGCACAGCTTGACGAAAGTGAGGATCACTACATGCAGAATGATTACCCTCCAATCCAGACAAAATCAACTGTGAATAGAGGTCAGATATTGTTGGGAGAGTTGCATGTTGTTGCTGTGCTGATTCTCTCGAGATACAACCATGGCAGTTCCATGGTTCTGCCTGATGTTGTTGTTGTGGATGTGGTTGATGATAATTTCTTCGACTTGGATTCATTAACATTATGGAGCTTTCGTCTCTTTTCTTTTCGAACTGAATTAGTAGAGTTTGCGATTAAAAAACAACATGTAAAACAAGAGGTCCTTCAACGCTGAGTGTTTTACCCTCTATCACGAAATTTCCATGATGGAACCTTAACCCTTCTATGTTGTGGACATTTTCCTGATTTGGTTAGGAAAATAACTAACATTTCTTATCACGAGACAAAGGTGAAAGAACACCACTCGAAAACAAAGAATAATCAGCCGTAGATTTGGCATCCATCTCGAGATTATCTTCCATTATAATTTTCAATATTTTTGTAATGAATACGAAAGGTAACCTTCCATATATGTGAAGTGTCAGTATTTTTGCAAAATTATTTGATTCATTAGTGTGATTATCCCAATATTTGCATGATTGGTCATCTATTTTACAATTGCAATACTAAATCCATCATATCCTTTACAGCCAACTGTTTGTAATGCTGTGCATGCTTTCAGTTTTGGATTTTCCTTCATTAATTTCATAAATTGTCGAACACCAATTACATTGGCATCTTGTGATTCATCATTTACAACTTGGCCATTTCTCACAACATTATCTCCAATAATAATACTTCCACTTTTGGATAATTGAAGGGAAAGCTCCAAATAAATTGGATTACTTGGCTTATCTGCATCAATGAAAATTAAATCGAATGGTCCTTCGTTATTGTCAATCATTCCTTGCATTAATTCTGCAGCTTTTCCTTCACGAATTTCAATAATTTCTTGCAAATTTGCAAATTTAACATTTTCTCTGGCAACAGTGGCATGTTTCGGATTGAATTCCAAACTAATTACTTTACCATTTCGCTCCTGGACAGATCTAGCCAAGTGAATGGTACTGTATGCTCCTAACGTCCCAATTTCAAGAATTTTTCTTGCTTGGATCATGTGTGAAAAGATTTCCAATAATTTTCCTTGATTGGGAGCAACTTGATGAGGAGGAAGACCATGTTTTTCACTCTCCTCAACTGCATGTTTTAAAATAGGATCTACTGGACACAGCATATCTTCGAAATAATCATCAACTTGTTTCCAAACAATTTGTGCTTCGTTGCTATTTGACATTTTTTTTGTAAAATATTAATAATATTTAATATTTCGGAAAGTAAACCTGTTTATTTAAAAAAAATGTATTATTAAGATGGAAAGAAAAGGGAAAAGGAAGGGTGGTACGTGGATCGAACACGTGACCATCGGATGTCTGCTGCAATTAACTTTGCAATCCGGTGCTCTACCGCTGAGCTAACCGCCCCACACCATTGAAGTTTAAATTCCTTACTATGGCTTATAAAGATACCAGAAGAAAAGTTTATTAAGGAAATTTCCTTTTTGATTACTAACTTTCTCTTAAAAAAACAATGAACGAAAAGCGAACAATCCTCAATGAAAGAAAGCAACGTGCCCTAGAAGCAGTTTCTCGCCTTCCTCCAAAAGATCTCTTACTAGCCCAACTCCATCACATGGAAAATCCCCCAGAAAATGCAGAAATAGATTGCAATCCGTTTGATCAGAGTAATTTAGATCATTCTTCCCTAGAATCCATCATTTCCAACACGTACTCTGATCGATTGGAGAGGGACATTGCTATATGTCACTCATTACTTATTCACTCTAAATTGTGCATTCTTGATGAGGAGCAACAATCAGTAACGAATCAATTGAGAAAACAGTTAAGGACAATATTTGAATATAGAGAGGATAGAAGTGACTTTGATAGAGAGTATGAGGATCAGTACTTTCTCATGCTTGAGGAAATGTGCGTTAATCTACCAGCTCTGTTGCCTAACTTGATCCCTATCAATCAGACAAATTTGATTATGAACCACAAGGACGAAGGATTTCTATTTAGAAAGGTGGAAGAAATTCTTTCAGGAATGTTTGAATTTACTGAAATGAGTGAACAAGTGAAATACCTGCAAATTGTGGTGGACAAGTTGCAAACAGAATTTCAATGTTTAAAGACACATGAACATTGTGTTGATTTAAAACTGATAAGAGATGTTGTTTTTTCATTATCAGTTTTATTGGACCAAGATGTGAAGGAATATTCAAGATATTTTGTAAACTTTGGAATTTTGGATTTACTTGCTGATTACTTGACATTGGATCCTAATGAAGGTTCCATAAAGATTCTAGATGACATTTTGAGTGTGAATGGATTCATTGTTCGATTATATTCTGAATTGGCTGCGACCATCAGTGAGGATACAAAAATGTTGAGCGATTGGTTTCTGGGTGGAAGGTCAATTAGTGCAATTATCAGTCGTTTACTGAAAGAGGTCGACAAGTTATCTAAAGAACTAGCAAGAAATTTACAAGAAGAAGTGGTTGATATTCTTGATGAAGATTGTGATTATCATCAGCAAGGATTGATTGTAAAATATTCATTGTATTGCCTTTTAGAATTATCAAGAAAGGGACTTTTACAGAAATACCTTTCCAAATCAATGAATGCTGAACAAGATGCCCTATTTCAAGTGTTGTTGGGATATTTGTGGAATATGCTTGCAGATAAGGGAAGAATTATTCTTGTGAAAATTGTTGCTAACGTTGTAGACATTCCAAAGTTAACAAACTCCTTGCTGGATGATAGCTGTTTACTTGGATGCTTGTTTGATCTACTCGAGTCAAGAGAGAGTTTTATCCATGCCATGTATATTTTTGTTCAGCTCTCTTGGTATCCACATATTGTAAGTGTTAAAAATCAAATATATTTGATAGCTTAATTGACCATTATCAATTAGGGAAGAGATGAAATTGACTTGTTTACATGCCTTGTTTTCAAGAGATTAATTAATGAAGAATCATTCAGAAAAATGACAGAGATTGGCAATGAGGTCAATAGAATTCTCCAATATCAAACTAATTCAAACGAAGATACAATGTACTCTAAGAAATTTGCCTCCTTATTTCATTCAAGTGTTAGGGCAATGGTATCCATATTTCCAGATTCATCTATTGTTTTTAGATTTTTAGCAAATCCAACAGATGAAAACAACTGTCTATCATTTATTGAAATGTTGACAGAGGACCATAATTTACAAGAAATATCTCAAATTAGAACAAATTTGGAAAATAGAATTACACACTATAGAAAATATGAAAAATAAAATTACTGATTTTCTGGAGGGAATCTGTCTTGTTGTGTGACAACAACAGCAGCTTGTCCAGTAATACGAGCAGATTCGAAAGAGAGTGTTTGGTTGCAAGGAATGTCAATCTTTGGATAGGTTGTGGCTATTTGAAGGTCTGAGCTAGTTGTGTATGGTAATGGTCTCCACAAATCCTTTTCTTGAATGCATTCAACAAAGTCATAAAGAGTTGAGCATGAAGCAGTGACTGGGAATTTTTGACTAACTGAGCTTCCATCAGGGAACTTGATCTTGAATAATACTGTCTTGGTGTCCTTTCCAATAGTAGCAAGAAGTTCTTGCAATTTTTGTCTCTTTTCTTCTCTTTCTTTCAAAGTCTTGTTGGTGAAATCCAACTTTTGTTTTTCCTTCTTTTGCAATCTCTTTTGTTGTTCTTGTTGTTGCATTTCAGTGAGTTCACTTGGATCATACAAGTCAAGAGCAGGAACAAAATCAATTTCAACTTCCATGAAACCTGATGATTCAGCAAGGACTGATACAGCAGTACTTGGTTGAGTTTCCATAATTTCAATCATGTGAATTTTATCACTTTCATCGTATACTTGCAATGATTGACCTTCAGCAACACAAGAATATCTAGATAAAGTGGTCTCCAATACTTGCTTATAATTCTCAATATTATAGAAAGTCTTGCTGTGAGGTTGAATCTTTATATAAGATGCAGGAAGAAGCTTTACACATCTAATGCTAACTTTAGCTCCTTCTGTGATAAACAAACTCTTAAACATCCTGATACAGGTTAATTGAATGAAATTAATCATCTTACTTACCATTCTGGAACAACAATATTATTGGAAGGACTGGTAAATTCTAAAAAATTGAAATTAGAGAAATATAAAATTATGAAACAACATACCACTGACACCACAATATACTCTAGAATGTTTGGTTTGAATTTCAAAAATAAGAGGGAATTCAACATTAGGATCGTTGAAAATCTTATCAGCTGCTTCAGGTGGCAACAACACCTTATTACCCTTTTCTGAAAATGTTAACTATAAATTCTACTTGCTACGATAAACTTACCAAGAGCACTAAGATTAACCTTGACATCAAAACAACGCTTACTGAAAGCAGATGAGAAAATGTAATACTTTTCGTTGAACTTGGTTCCTGATTGAATGACTTGATCTCTTGTATGTCTGACATAGCTATTAAGAGCGGCCTTGACATCATAAGGTTTGAATGTTCTCAAATCAATGCAGGCATCATTTTCAATGAGCGATGATTTGATTTTAGAAAAGATTGATTCCATAGATAAGCATCTGTTTTCAGCCCAATTATTTCTTGTTAAGAAATCAACACAAAGACTTCCATCAAATTGTACTAAACCTGTCAAATATTGAATTCTTGGTGATACAACTCTAATGTGTGGAGGCTCTTCAGGATAATTAGCAAAACGAACTTCCAACACAATGTCTCCATTACCAATGTTGAACTTTTCTTGGAAAGAACGTAATCCAGATGCAATTGTTGATGAAGTTGGGAAATTATACAAATGCACAGTCCAAACAAAAATATTTTCGTCTACTAATTCCACTTTCCATCCATTTCTTCCATTCAATGAATTAATAAATTTCAATTCAGTCAACAGTTTACTCTTTGCTGACAAGTTATATTCTACATAGCCAGCCAAAGATCCTAAAAAAGATAAGCTTAAGAATTCAAAGGAAACTTACCCCATGCATTTGTAAACATTGTAAATTCTTCATCTTGTGACATTTTTTGAAGCTTTGCAATAAGCTCTGACATATCCTTTTCCTCTTGTACATCAAATATATTCTTTTCGGAAATATTCACCTTTTGAGGTGTTGGAGTTTGAATAAAGTCTTCATCATCATCCTCATCATCATCTTCATCATCGGAGCTAATAAGAAGTTTAGAGGCTCCTTTGTCCAATTCATCAAGTTTTGAAGCAAATAAATCATCAGTGGCATTTACAACACCAGGAGTAAGCTCATTAAATGATTTGGTGATGAAAATTTCAATAATCTTTGATAAAAGTACAGAAATTGCAATGGATGGTGATGTCATACTGACACTATCTCTTTGAATAAATCTATTAGCCTTTGCAACAACCTTTTCAAGAACAGGATCATCACTAGTAACTAAAAGGCCTTCTCCTTCCATTGGCTTATAAGTTTCGGGATAAATAACTGAAAAGATTGAATCATTCAAATCAAACATTATGATCTTTTCTTGAGTATTTAATTCCAATAAATTCAAGTTAACCATCACATTTAATAACTCCTTTCTAGGTACTTTAAGAAGAGGATTCAAGTGACTTCTTTCGATCATTTGTCGAGTAGCATTCTTTAATGATTTAAATGATTGATACCACAACAAAACCTCGGATTTAATTGTTTCATCCAAATCAGTTTCGTTATCGGATACAACAATTGTTGATGGATCAATTACGAAAGGTTGATTAGCACTGCTGGACATGGTGTTTTGCTAATTTTTTAATTTTAAAATAAAAATATTAAAAATAAAATCTGAAATGAACTTTCTTTGCTGTAAAAATAGTGGCAAAATGTGTTTTAAATAGGTTGTTGTTAAGGAACTCTTTGAACCACTTACAACAATTGTACATTCCAACATAGATTGAGAATGAGTAAGAAAATTTAGGTCCCGCTTGTGGTTTGTTATCAATGTTTCATATTAGGAATGGATAAAGCTCTTGGATAAAAGAAGCAAAGAGGTGTCGTCTGACGATTTGATTTATGCGTGATGAACCAACAACATTAAATCCAATGAAACTCTTTCGATACTTCTGCTTCAAAGAACAATTATGAACCTGTTTGATCTATAACACCACAAGTGAAAAGGTTAGAGGAGATAACATAAATTGAGATCATTTCAAAACATCCGCACAACTTTCCTCTAAATATTTCTTAACATGTGGTTAACCAGAAAACGTGCTGAACAGAAATAGTTCACCCTTAATGTTAAATAGAAGATTGAGAGGAGATTACAGATTCACACAATACCTAGGTTGTGCTGGATTGAATTTTGGAGCTATTGAAACGCAGTTTTTGTTTTTTACCTTTTTTAAACATTAAAAAAAATGAGCAACTCCACTGTTGATGCGTCGGCAACCGTTTGTTCAGCTGATGCAAACACTGGCGCAGCGGATAGCCAAATATCATCAAGTACTTCAACAAATATTAATAGTATAGTTGGAAGCCTTTTTCCTACTAGAAAAGGTGTGGCTAGTGATGATCAAAGACTACCTGTTACAGTTCTTTCCGGATTTTTGGGAGCAGGTAAAACAACATTGTTGAAATATGTTTTAAATAATCAAGAAGGATATAAAGTAGCCGTTATTGTCAATGACATGAGTGAAATTAACATTGATGCAAAGCTCGTTCATATCAATCACTTGAAGGTAGGTTTTTTGTAACGACAAGTTGATGATTAACAAATCACAACAAAAAGAATGAGAAAAAGGAACAAAAATTAATAGAAATGGCTAATGGTTGTATTTGTTGCACCTTGAGAGATGATTTAGTAAGTACGACAATAATTGTTTCAAAAACTAAAATTTTTAGTTACAAGAAATTGCCAAATTGGCTAACGACAAGAAATTTGATTACCTATTAATTGAATCAAGGTAAGTGTCTAATAACAATTTGTTGATGATATATTTCGGAATAGTGGAATCAGTGAACCTCTCCCAGTTGCTGAAACTTTTACGTTTTCTGTTGATGACTTCCTGAACCAAGCACATAAATCAAAAGAGGAAAATAATGGAACAACAACAGAATCAGTCGCTCCAGTGAAAAATGTTACCCTCAAAAACCTTGCTCGTTTGGATACAATGGTAACTGTTGTTGATTCTTATAACTGGTTGTTAGATTATACAAGTGGAAAGACATTGAAAGATAAAAACTTACAAAATGACGAGGATGATGACAGACAAGTTGTAGATTTGTTGGTGGATCAAATTGAATTTGCTAATGTTATCATTTTGAACAAAATAGATCTTGTTACATCCGATGAATTAGGATTGTTGGAACAAACTATTCGTCACTTGAATCCTAAAGCAAAACTTATCAAAACAAAATTCGGAAAAGTTCCTCTTGATTGCATTTTCTATACAAACATATTCGACTTCAATGAAGCTCAACAATCTGCTGGATGGTTGCAAGAACTTCAAGGTAATCACGTCCCAGAGAGTGTACAATACGGTATTACAAGTTTTGCATATAGAAGAAGAAGACCTTTCCATCCAAAACGTCTTTCAGATCAATTCATTCATAGTAAGTAATAATCATTCTTTCAAAATTCGAAATTAACAAATAATAGATGAAGAAGCTCTTGATGGTGTTTTGAGAAGTAAAGGATTCTTCTGGCTTTGTACTAAGATGGATATATATGGACTTTGGTCACAAGCTGGTGACACACTAAGAATTGAAACTGGTGGTAGATTCTGGGCTAGTATACCGAAGGAAGATTGGCCAAAAGATGATAATAGTTTAGCAAAAGTTTGGGATGAAAAGTGGGGAGATAGAAGACAAGAACTAGTTTTCATTGGTATGGATATTTCTGAGAAGGAAATCTCGGCCAAGTTGGACTCTTGTTTATTAACAGATGAAGAAATGGCTTTGGAAGAGAGTTGGAAGAATTTTGAAGATCCTATCGAGTTAGATGAAGAAGAAGACCCACACGTCCATGTACACGGGGAAAATTGTTCACACGAAGAACATCACGATGCAGAAATGCATACCATTCTCCTTAAAAATAAGAGGAGACTTACCACTAATGTAGATGGAAACGAAGAAGGAGTTATTTTACCAAATGTTGATACATCAGCACTTGCTGAATCCTCTGATAAGAAGAGAAAATTAGAAGATGCTGAACCAAGCGAGACCAAAAAGCTGAAATCGGATTAATATCTTATATATCACATTTGATAATATACAATAAAGATCTTTACCGTATCAAAAGTCTAAAACTCTGTTCAAAACCTTAACCAACTAGAAAAAAAAAGCATGCCACCAACACCAAAGAAGAAACCAACTTACGAAGAGATATCAGAGCGATTTCATCTTCCTCTACAAAGAGCTGCAGACGACATGGGTAATTATTAAACATTCCTTTCATCATAATCTTATTTAACCTTAATGAAGGAATATGCCAAACTCTCCTAAAGAAGTTCTGTCGTCAATACGGAATCAATAGATGGCCTTATAGAAGAATCAAGTCAATAATACAAAAAGGAGCCAATGACAGTAATGTTGAAATGAATGAAGATGAATATAAGGAAAAGGTTTCAGAATTTATCAGAGACAATAAGGAGTTTGTTTTCAATAACTTTAATGATAGTGACTTTGGAACTCCTCAACAACAATCCTCTTCCAATATTCCAAATAATTCCACAAACTTCAATGGTCCTAACAATAATAATAACACCATTGGACAAACAAATTATGCAAACATGTATCAAACAAATAACAATGTAATACCAACCAACAATAATTTATTCACTAACCAATCATCCCAATTAATGATGGGATCCTCCCATAATAGTAATAATACTCATCAAAGTACTTGGACAAACAACATGAATCATCATATTTCACTTAATAATTATACTCAAAATCATTCAGTTGCTACACAACCATCCTTCTCTATGAATGTTTCTAGCAACAATATCAGCAATAATTATTCAAACATGGATACCTCAATGATCAATTCTCAACACCACCCACAGCACCATAATCATCCAACAGGCAATTCATTCTCATGGGGAATGCAATCCTCTATGAACCAACCAAACCAAATGAATCCTCTTAACAACACAAATACGATGAACATCAACCCGAACAACTCTGGTTTTAACAACATGAGCTCATCGTCTCACATTAACACTCAGATTCAACTTCCTCAAACAAACCAGCAAGTATTGAGCGAATCAGCCGATGTATGTATGGGAGATGTTTATTCCTCAACTCCTCAACCTATTCAACAACAACCAACACAACAACATACAAGTTTTCAATCTTCTCCTCAACCAGCATTATCCTCCTTAAGAAGACCTCAATTACTTAAAGCAAACAGCAACAGCTCCATAACATTTTCAAATTGTACGAATACGGAGAGTAATCACTTCCAAACTGGTACATTAAGCACGTGCAGCAGCAGTAGTAGTTTGAGTGATTTGGTCGCAAACATGTCAGCTATTGATTTGGATAATGATTCCAACAATTCAGGTAGTGGAATGTTAAGAAGAACAACTAGTTCTTTTTCTAGGCCACCCCTAAAAAAGGCTTCATCACTTACCGCTGTTGCTCAGCAAACAGCTAAGGGTATACAAAAGAAGAAGGAGCAAGTTCTAAGTGTGTCAACAGTACAATCCTTAGTTAGTTCAAGTTTATCAAGTTCTCCTCAACAACAAGAGATGCATATGCCAGTTCCACAACAGCAACCACCAACACCTTATTCATCAATTTCGAGACCTATGTTTGTAAAATCCAAATCACACGGACAAATACAATTGCAAAATAAGCTCCCAAGTCTCACCCAAGTTTTTGGAGAGAAATTCTTTGAAGAAACAAGACCAAACAATCAGTGTTGATCCTTCCGAAATGACATTTACAAACCAGTACACAATTTAAACAATAAATTTACAATCATCATGATGAAAAGATAATTTTTCAAAGAGAATATCATTAAATATGGAATTTTCTTGTGTTATTAACTTAATTTTAACTAATATGGAATTAGAGTAATACTGCTTATTGAATACATTGTGTAAATTGGCAACACAAGTTAAGGAACCACCAACAATAGAGAGATAATGTAAATGGAGCCAAAATATAATTGAACAATAACAATTCACAAATTTGTCTTTGTCCAAAGTCCTTATTGATAGAACTCAATGTTGTTGAAGCCATAGCCATTGGTACACTGAAAATTTTGTAAAATTTAAACATTACTCTATTAAAAAAAAACTTACGACCATTCTACAAGAATTGTTAAAATCAATACAGGATTTGGTGGAATGACTTGAAGTACATTAGTTCCCAAGTAAATGATTCCAACTCCCAACAATGGCATAATACCCAATTTGATAAATACTGAAATGAATAATGCTAGTGGATTATTGAAATTGATAAAAGTTCTTCTGATCCATTTCAATGTGTAGAGTGGATTGAGGAATTTTTTTAATTTCTCTGTTCTACTAAGTCCTTGCTCAGATTGAGCACTAGCTTTGATGGAAACTTGTAATGTCATTGCAACATTAGCTCCAAGAATAATCATACTAATAGGGAAAATTCCACTATTTACATTAATCTATCAAAGCCAACTAACTACTTGTGAAACTTACCTTGCAAATAATGAAAGTGTATGCACAAATGCACTAACTACCAGAGGTGGATCTGTAATGAGAAATTGTTTTACAGGTGGAATCAATCCAATAATTGTTCCCAATGTTAAAGCTATCACTGGTCCATTAATTGTTTGTTTCAAAATAAATTTGAATCTCTTTGCTCTATCTCCATTCCAGATTTTTAAAAGCTTTTCCTTGAAAGTTGTTGGTCTAGGACTTTCCTCAATTGCACTCGAAAGATGATCATCACTTTCCTTTGGAGCTTCAATATCTACACTTTGTAAATTATCATTCAAATCCTCCTTGAGCTCTGTTGAATGATCTTCATGTTCTTCAAGAGATGCCAAATGTTGTTCCTCTTCTCCTTCAGGTGTTGAAACTTTGGATTGAATCTTGGGTTTTTCATCCTCTTCTTTTGGGGGTGTCAATGCCACAACACCATACCTTAAATAGTTTTTGAAAATGTCAATAAATAAACAATATTATAAACATACGACCAAAACAAAAAGATACTTGGCAATGTGTAAACATTAATAAAAGCCATAGCAGATTGCACTGCTTCATCCTCATCAATATTAAATAAAGTTCCAGCTGTGATTTTACAAATTGCACTCATAAAAACCTTAATGAATGATAAATAAAAGATTTTCAAAATTTCAAACATACCAATGGAATTGTAACACCATTACTAAAAGTTTGAGTGACAAATTGAACTGATTGTTGTTCTTCTGATAAAGTTCCTCTCCAAAACCTTTTGAAAAAGACAATTCTTCCAATAAGATTACCAATGATAGTGTTAATAAGGTTAATGATAGGAAGCATCCACAATGAATAAATAGAATCAACACTAATAGCTCTAGATAAGGCATGCATATTAAAAGTAGGACTAAAAACATTGAATATAAGTTGACTAAGAAATTGTACTCTATCGGGTGTTAAAATCCCTGTAAAAACCATGATGGCACCGATAGAACATGCAATCACAACTTCAACAGTGGCCGAGAAGGATGTTAAAAAGAGCATGAGAGTAACATTGGAATTTAATGTAGAATTTGTGTACGGAGTTGATGAATTTAGTGATTGATTCAGAGAGGAAGAGTAAATTAAATTATGAGACCATTGTACTTGTGAGTGGAAAGGTAATTCGGAGATGTTAATACTCGAAGGTATTATTGGATTAAAAACATCAAATACAGGTATGTTAGAGGACGATTGCATTTTGTTTTTTTTAAGATTCAAATTCAATCAAATGGATTCTATTGTTTGTTCGTCATTATTATTAATATCATAAGCGTATCGTTGTTTTTAACTATTTAATAAGATACATGTAGTTTGTGAGAAGTAAACGACCAATTAAGCATTTTTGGAATAATGGCATTAAAAGAATCCTTTTAAACTTGAGAAAGAATTTTAAATATTTATGTACAGAGAGTTTAGTAAATCTTCAAAAATGATTTTTTGGTCACAACTAGATTATCCACAACATCCTGATTTCTTTGGTTGAGGTTCATCTGGGAATTCAGTAATACTTTGACCTCCAGTGTAAGGTGTATCTTCTTCTTTTCCTAAAGCGTTTCTAGCAATAGTTTCTATTGTAAAGTGTTAAAATATTAACTAGCTCAAAGATAATACTTACGGAAAGCTTGTTCGACATTGGTTCCTTCTTTGGCAGAACATTCAAAGTATGGAATGTTACCCTTAGCCTTGCACCAAGCGAGAGCTCTCTTTTGTGGTACAATACGTTGATCGAGATCAATTTTGTTGGCAATAACAACGAATGGGAAGTTATCTGGATCTGGTGGACCAGCTTGAATCAAAAATTCATCTCTCCAAGAGTTAATATTTTCAAATGTCTTGGCAACTGTGGCATCAAAAACTAAAACACACGAGTCAGCTCCTCTGTAGAAGGCAACACCAAGACTTTGGAAACGTTCTTGACCAGCAGTATCCTTTTTTTGATTATATAATAATAATTCATCATCATTTCATATTATCGGAAAATTAAAATCGAAAACACAATCATCATCAAATTCCAAATAATAATAATAAAATAATTTTTTGTTTTTGTTAGAGCAGTTAGTTGGAAATTCACATACCCAAATTTGCATAGTAACAAGACGGTCATCAACCATAACTTCCTTGGTCAAAAAGTCAGCACCAATTGTAGCCTTGTATTGATTACTATTAGAATTAAATTATTGATTTTTTGCGGTTTTTAATAAGTAAATTTAAAAAGTATTCAAATCATACCTGAATTTCTTGTTTACGTATTGGTTCATCAATGATGTCTTTCCGACACCACTATCACCGAGGATGATAACCTTCAACAAAACCTTCTTTCTAGAACTCATTGTTAACGGTGGCAGAGTAACGGCTTCTCTGTAAAATTTTTTTTGTTACAATAAAAAAGTGTCTTATCTTCCTCTCCCATGCTCCGAAACGAAGATCTTCCAAAAGGTGTTAAAGTAATTCAGACTGCTTGAATGAAAACAGATACATGGACAAAACAACTCGTTAATGTCAAAACAAAGAACGGCTCTAATTTGACTTTGGCTGTTTTGATATTTTCTTTTGGAACAAGGAGTAACCAATGTGTTAGCTTCAAAATCCACCATTGAATTATTTAGGAAATCTATCAAATCTATTAGCTTTCTGTACATCAAGTGTTCTCACAATAATACTTAATATTGAACTAATGCAATAAATATGAAAGCAATATATATCTATCAAAGTGAGGCGCTGGTTTTTTAGATTACAATTCCTTTACTGTTGAAATGCCAAAGGAATAGGGCGCTGCAACATTATAATATTTCTGTTGCATTATTGGGTGATTCGGAGGTACATTTCTTGCCGACAAAAATTGAAAAAAACTCATTCACTTTAGTGTTCTCACAATTTTCTCTTGTTCTCCGATTTTTTCTTTCCATCACATAATTCATAATTCGGGATGCAAAGATTGAGACAATCTCTTCTTGCCAATAGCACGGTGCAGTTGGGAGACGATGACGATTTTAATCAATTGAATTTGCCATCAAACTCTCAAGTGCAATTGCAAACACCAACTCTGTTGGCTCGTTCCTATACTTTTCTTAAAGAAAGAGTTTTACCACAAAAAATCGATGATGAAGAAGAAGCGATTCAATTGTCACTTGTACAAAAGTTTTTAAAGTATAGAGTATTTCCAACAAAATTAGTAACAGATATTATCCAGGCTGCATTAGTAATTCTTTTTATTATCTTTTATGCATCCGAATTTAAAGGATATAAATCAGATATGAGTAATACTTTTTCGAATTATTTCCTTCCAAAGTAGGTTGAATAATTCATATTTTCAAGTTAATTATTTCATAGTGGATTTCAAAATATTAAGGATAACGATGATGGTGAGTAGAGAGAATTTCAGTATTTCTAACATTTCTTGTTAGGTTTCTTCACTTATTACATTTATAATGTGGACGATCTGCAGAAGAATATTCAGAGTCTTGTAGCAAAATACTATTCGATACAGGAAAATTCTGTTAGTGTTTTTGTTCCTACTAGTCAAAATCTTGTAAAATTGAGAGCTACCTTATATAAGGAAAATATTAGACGACTAATTGCAAATGAAACTAATGGAGATAGCGATCCATCAATGATTGATTGGAGATTTATTGCAAGAAGAGACGTTCACTCATTATTTTCTGATGAAACCATCGAAATCAATGAGAATTTAACAGATTCAGAACCCCTTGGCTCTCTATTTAACGTGACAGGAGACGATCTTAAATATCTTGTTGACAGAATCACAAACTTGGAACTCTTTTTCAAACTGATAAGTATTGATACCAAAGTTCAGGGATTTCCTAATTGCTACAAATGGACTGTTCTCTTTAAGTTCGTTTTTGATGGAGGTGGCAGAGTTCCAATGAGATTATCTTACAAGTATGGTAAGTTGTGTAGATAATTTCTGATATGATAATAATAATTTTCCAAAAAGATAATTGTGTGGCAAATGAAGATGCTTATTATTCATCTATTTTCCAAAGACCAAGAGGTTGGATTGGTATTTTGATGTGTATTTTTGCGTTTATTTCTTTTATATTTTACAACAAATCATTAATTACTAGATTAACTGTATTCTTTGTAAGTACCCAAGATATTGGTAACAATTCTAAACACATTACAGAAAAGAAAAAAAACAAACAAATTGATGAGATTTTATGACCTATTTACTGATTATCTAGGAATTTGGATTTATGTTGCTTTCCTTAAAGATGTCATGTTAATTATTGGATATATTACAATGATTGTCAAATCAGGTGAGAGTACAGAATTAGCTTCTCAAACATTTCTTGGCATTGGATCATTCCTTTCTCTTGTAAATTTAACAAAATACTTTAATTATCAAGCAAAATTCTACTTGGGTAAGTTATTAGCGACATTAACAAATGATTGACATTATATTAGTCATTAGAGCATTTACAAGAGCTATTCCAATAATTATGAAGTATTTGTTCAGTATAGCTCCAATATTTGCGGCATTTGTTTGCACAGGTGTTATGTGGTTCGGATTTTACTCTTCTTGTAAGTTTGAAACTTAACAAATATTTAACACTGGTAAGATTTCAAAAACATTGATAACACTATGGTCACATTATATAGTGCCCTTCAAGGTGACAACCTTAGAATTGTATTCGAGAAATTGTATGCTTATGGAACTTTCTACAAAATATTGGGAAGAGCTTATACTGTCATATTTGTAAGTTTATTTAATTGAATAATATTGCTAATAACATAAATAGTTATTGCTTTTCAGTAAGTTTATCAGAAATTTAAAATTTATATGATAACAATTTTACAGTTTGTGCAATTGTTAACATTTTCTTGAGTATTGTCCAAGAATCTTATTCGAATGTATTAATGAAAATTGCCGAGGCTGGTGGTGAACAAGAAGCTGCCACTAAAAGTAAAGAGAAGGAAGCTAAATTTGAAAATCTTACCAACAAGACATATTTACATTTGAAGAAGAAGGCAGAAAATGATGAAAATGGAGGTAATTCTTCAGATAGCGAATTAACAGATGATGTTCTACCAACAGCAGATTCTAAATATCCTCTGCGAGCAACTAAGGATGACTTTTTAGCTGATGAGCCATTATTCTTTTCAACACTCAAGAAGGCCGTTCAATCCAAACTTGAGCAACAATATTTAGGAAAGGCGCCTGCCTATCAAATGGAGAATCTTAAAAATCTTGTTAAGAATTCCAATAATTTAATTCAAAAAGTAAATGATTATTAGAGAGGGAAAGGTGTAAAATGTTTTGTAATAAAAATTATATGTAAGAGCTGCGGTTGTTTAAAAACCTATTCAACTGCAAACTACAATTTTGGAGGGAAAAATAAGCAAAAAAAATGTCTGACTTTGATGACGATTTTGATGATGATTTCGAGGATGATTTCGAGGATGACTTTGAGGAAGAAGTACCTCAAAAACCAGTGTTCAATAGTGCACCTGCAAAAACAATAGTGCCTCAGACATTTCAATCTAGGGTTGAAATACAAAATGATAAAATTGTAAATACAACTCCGAGCACCAGGTAAGGATTTAAACTTGGATTGAAATTCATCAAGATAATTAGACAAGAGGAAATCACAACAAAGGCTATCAAAATTAAACCTACTCTCTCAAAGGAAGAAAAGGAGAGACTTGAAAAAAATCAAAAAAAGTTGGACAGAGCTCAAAAGCTATTGGAATTAATTACATTGGATAATGTTTCATTTGAAGTGATGGATTTACCTCCACTATCTGATTTTGAAATGTATCAAAGATCATTTGGAAAAGGAACATCTATGCAGACTTCTGTTCAATGTCCTCCGTTGGATGAAAAGAAGGAAATGGGATGTAACACAATACCACCAACACAGTCAGTAAAAGCGATCCAAGCACCAGAAGATTTAGGTATATCAAGTAAGAGTACACCAAAGAATAGTATGGACAAGTTCAAATTTAATTCTCTGTCATTGTCAAGATTTTTGAAAGCTGTCTATCCAGTCTGTGACAGGATTCTAGAATCTAACACCAGTAGTAATACAGAATCAGATACAAAGAATAGAGAATCTATGTTTAAGTTTAGTAGTAGCTATTCTGTTTTCGGCCATCCTCTGACAAATGGAAGAGAGGTTAAGGAAATTATTTTCTCAAAAGATAACCAAATGATAGTATGTTACGGACCTAATTATTCAAATGTAGAAATTGAAACTGGATTGGTTTGTATCTGGGATACTCTAAATGAAAAATCACCAGTCCTGTAAGTATTAACTTGATAGATCATTCGATTTTAATTTCACCTATTTAAGCTGTTTAATTTATGGTTGTGAATTGACAAGCGTTTGTTGCCTTCCAGATAGACCAAATATTATTATTGCTGGTGCAAATGATGGATCTGTAGTTGTTTGGGATTCAAATCAAAATCCAAAGACAAGAATAATTGAAGAATCTCCATTGTCATTCCTCACTCCATCCTTTTCAACAGCTAATCTCTTCAGTGAAACTCACTTGTGCTCTGTAGTCCAAGTGAAAACTATCAGTTCTCAACTCTCAATATATTCAAACGAAATAAGAAGTATGGGAGATTATTTTATTTCTCTGGATGAAGCTGGTAATGTAATTTATTGGCTTGTGATATTCCTCTCTCAACAGTAAGTAAAACAACATTAAGATGGAATCTAAGACCTGATAGTGGAGTCTCTGATACAGAGATTGGGTTGAATATTGGTGGAAAGGTAAAAATTGTAAACAGTGGAAGAATGAACGTATTCGGAGAGCCAACATTAGAGCTAAACTTGAAAAAGGTGGAGAATGAAACAAGTTTAGCTGCCTCTATCCTTAAAGGATTTACAAACGCAAATGATAATACCAACCATGAACAATTTATTCCCTCAATTGAAGCTGCTGTTTGTTTCGAGGTTGATCCAGACGACTCTTCACAGTAAGTATTTCGAACACAATGAAACTTAATCTTTTAGGATATTGGTTGGAACAGATTTTGGACATATACTGAGAAGAGGAAGATTCATTGACAATATAAAACCATACAACATTGTAAAAAGAAAGGATGGGTACTCGTCCAATATTCATCATATTACATCAAGAGTTACGTGTGTGGAATTTTCATTTTTCTTACCTCAATATTTTCTTGCTGGTTACGAAAATGGAATGTTTGCTCTGTTTCTGAAAGGATACGAAGATCCAATCATTAACTTTAAACATTACACCAACTCAAGTATTGTAGATATTAAGTGGAGTGCTGTTCATCCATCTGTATTCTTTGTTTTAACCAGTGATGATGATCTAATGGTATTCGATCTCATTCAAAACGATAAGTTAATATTCTGTGAAAAGGTGACCTTAAAATCACAATCCAAAGATAAGATTAATAGAGTGAGCTGCAAATTAGGATTAATTTGTCTTTCTCAAAAGGAGAAAGTGCAAAGTGTGCTAGTTCATCACCAACCAGATTTAATGAAAGCTCTGAATAAGAATGACAGAGTAGCAATTGGTTACAGCGAAGGAAGAGTTGATTTACATTGGGTTGACTTGTCTTCCAAGATAACGGATTTAGAAAGTGCAATTTCGACAGTTTCAAAAGAAATTAAAGCATTTATGTGTTAGTTTACAAGCCTTCATATTTACTCCATTCTTCTTCAAATTCTTGGATGGCCGATTTCATTTCATTTTCTATTGATACAAAGTCATCATCTTCATCATCAGATAGAGAGTATCTCTTTCTGTTTGATTCTGAGATTCTTGGTGTTACAATTTCTTTTAGTGTAGGTTCTTTTGACATCTCGACTGAGCTCTTTGGTGTTGATTTCAGGGATCTTTCCATTTCAATACTCTTCATAGCATCATCTATGATTGACTCAATAATATTGGAAGAACTTGATTTCAAGCTCTGTCTAATTGGACTTCCTTTTGTTTTTTCCTTCTTGGAAGATGACAAACCAGGTGATGAATTCTTTTTCAAGAATGGTTTAGGAGAAGATTGATTGTATCTTGGGTCAAATTCATATAATTCTTCCAAATCATTATCAAATGATTCAATCCACAAGTGTGCAAGCTCCACAGACTTTTGATTGATCGAAGGCTTAAATGTACATTCTTTCATTTCCTCTTCTATTATATCGTGTTTAAGTTGATTAATCTTATCTTGTCTTTGTTTCTCCTTAGTAAGTCTTCTTTGAATAAAGTTATCAACTTCGAACTTCTTTTTGTTTGGAGAAGGACTATCTGGCTTAGTAGTATTAGAATTAGTACTTGTATTTGTAGTAACGGTATTCTCAAGGGAAATAGTTTGAGATGGTGAAGAACCTTTCTTTGGTGAATAAAGTGGTGGTCTTTCCAAATGTTTGGCTATATCCTTTGAATGTTTGTTAATAGCAGGTTTAAAAGAGTATTGATCTTCTTGATCTTCTTTCATTTTTGCTTTCTTCTTTTCTGCCTCTAAATGTCTTTCAAGTGCCTTCTTATAAAACTCTGCCTCAGCTCTCCTTCTTTCATCGTCGTATTCAGACGACTTTTTCTTGTCTTTTGGACTTGAGGATTCCTCATCCTTTTTCTTTTTTGAATCTCCATAAAGTCTTTCAAAAGGATTTGATTCTGCATCGGATCTATTTTTGTTGGCCAACAATGTTGATTTCTCATTAATTCTTGGAGAAAAGTTGTACTCTTCATCATAATACATTTGATTCTTATGACGATATTCATCAAATCTCTTCTCCCAACCAGTAATAGGACCTGAATATTCCTTCTGTTCCTGTTTCTTTTGAATTATAAATTGTGAAACAACAGATAATGGTGATGGTTTTGCATGGATTTGTTCTTCTTCTCTTTTCAATTGCTTTGCTCTTAGTTCCTCAATGTTATGATCAACTTTAGATTTCTGTTAACGAACATCTTAGTAAAATAAATGCGATGTAGTACATACCCACTTGTTGTTATATTCGTACAAACTCTCTTCCCGAGTCATGTTTTTACTCTTCTTTGATATATTTGGTTGGAAAGTACATTCTGATGATCCTTGATTCACTTTTCTTTCTCTCTCTTTGCTAAGCTTTGATTCCTTAATTGTTAAAAACTGTTTTCCTCTCTCATACAATGATCCCTTATCTTGTTCTGCATTTGAAACAGCAGAATTGTTATCCTTTTGTTCATTAGTTTGTGATAGACGGTCTTCTTCAAGTGGTTGATCGTCCATTTTTTTGATGAGAGAATTAATAAATAACAGATTTTCACCTTCAGCGTAATTTCTTTAGGTCCACCTACCCCAAGTGTTAGTTGCAGTTCAAGCGCCCGCCAATTTTATCAGATAAATTTACAAAAAAAATGGCAGAAGAAGGAAATCCAGCAAATAATTTAGCGCTCGTAGTGGTAGGTCTTTTAAATCATCAAGTTATACAAAATAAATTTCTAAGCATTGTGATATGCCGGAAGATATGAGGATAGACTGTGTTGAAACAGTATCAACAGCAATTGAAACAGCTTTGGAAAAATCACCCCAAAATTATGAAAATGCTGCTAAGGCAATTAAAACCCAAATGGATAAGAAATATGGTAAATCATGGCATTGTATAATAGGAGAAGGATTCGGAGTGTCAGTGACTCATGAAGCAAAGAACTTACTTTACCTTTATTTCAATGGAAACCTTGCAGTTCTAGTTTTTAAAGGAAGTAATTCATTCTAACATATTAAATATTTTGTAAATAGAAAATTCAAATAATTACGATTAAAAAATTAATTTATTTCTTCTTATTCTTCTTGTTCTTATTCTTCTTGTTATTTCCTAGAGCTTCTTCTTGCTTTCTCTTCTTATCTTCCTTTGGTTGTTGCTTTTGTTGTTGCTTTGGTTGTTGTTTTTGTTGTTGTTTTTGTGGTTGCTTTTGTTCCTTCTTTGGTTCAGGAATGCCAGATTGAACTCTTTCAACAATACCCTTGATTTCTTCATCGTTAGCTTCTCTTCCCAATCTAGTTTCTAAATCTTGAACTCTCTTAACAACTTCCTCAGTTTGTTCTTCATCAAGATCGACATCTTCGTCATCTTCTTCACCGACAATTGGTTCAATATCATCTTCGTCACTCAATTCTTCGAGCTTTGCAGATTCAGATGATTCGTTCAAATCTGGTTTGAAATCTTCATCTTCTTCGTCATCTTCTTCTTCCAACATCTTTCTCAAGAGCTTGGTCTTTTCTTCTTCATCACTTTCATCTTCAAGATTATCGCCGTCAATGACTGAATATCCACCATACTCACCTTCTTCACCATCTTCGTTAATCAAGTTAATATAACCAGTAACGTGGACAGTAGTATCATCATTAGCGGATGTTTCAATAGAGAGGGCAACATCTTCGCTGAAGTTCAAGTCAATGGAGACAGATTCCTTCGTTTCCTTGTCATCTTCATCAACTGAGTGAACAAAAACTCTGGTAATTGCTCCCTTTGGAGTATCCTTAGCAAGAGAGACGGTGGACAAGTGGAGAATAACTTCACCGAATGGAATTTCGAAAGCTTGAGGAGCACCAGTTTTGATCTCTTGACCGAAGAATGAGAAAATGTTAGACATTGTTGTTGTGGATTTTTTTTGTGTTAATTAATGCTGGTTTTTGTTCAAACACTTTGCAGACATTTAAAAATATTACAACACCAATCAAAAAAATTGGCGGCAACTATTTTGTTGAACCTAGATAAGTATCCCATTATCGGAACGAAGAGCTATTATTATAATAAAGTATAATTGTTAACAATTATTTAATGAAGAGTTAATTTCTTTTTGCAAAATTACTTGGATGATTTTTGTCATCTTTGTTTCATCACATTTTCTTATCCATGTTGAAGTACACAAACAAGATGAAGTCACATGATTTTCTGTTGTTGAACAATAAAAAATGAGAAAATTACCATTTAGTGGTGGTGGTGGCATTGAAAGCTATAATAATAATAGGAGACAAAATAAAAGGAAATCATCATCATTGGAAAGTCAAGATCAACAACAATCTGAGAGTTATAAAGTGATAAAAACTGCACCACCTAAAAAATTAAAGACTTCGGAAGTGTCGGAAGAAAAGTATTTAAGAATTCAAAAGGAAAAAACTTTATTACCAATTTATGAAGCCAAATCATCTTTAGTTGATGAAATTAGGAAGAATAAAACTCTAGTTGTTGTCGGTGAGACAGGTTCAGGAAAGGTAAATAATTTTATTTTCAAATGAGTTTACAATTTTTAGACAACTCGTATGTTTCTTATTCGATAATTAATTTATTAATTATTTTAGAAATTCCTCAATATATTTATGAAAGTGGAATTTGTGGAGAGGGATGTGTTGCAATTACCCAACCTAGAAGAGTTGCTGCAATCTCAATTGCTAGACGTGTCTCTGAGGAAATGAATGTTAAATTGGGAGAGGAAGTTGGTTACACGATTCGTTTTGAGGATGTTTCTAATCCACATAAAACTAAAGTTAAATATTTAACAGACGGTATGCTCTTGAGAGAATCACAAATTGATCCATTACTCAAAAAATACTCTGTAATTGTATTGGACGAAGCTCACGAAAGAACTTTACACACAGGTGAGTTTTTTATGAAAAAAATTATTGAGATAATTCTTAAATAGATGTTCTTTTCGGAGTTGTTAAAAGATTACTGAAAGAAAGAGATGATTTGAAAGTAATAATCATGAGTGCCACTTTGGAAGCTCAATCATTTTCTAAATTTTATGACAAGTAAGTCATCAACTCTCATCTTTATGTTTTAATCCAAATAATTAATTCAGTGCAAAGATTTTATACGTTTCTGGTAGACAATTTCCTGTAGATATTTACTATACTGAACAACCAACATCTGACTATGTCGATGCTGCAATTACAACAACTTTCCAAATCCATTTAGACGAGCAATCTCCAACAGGAGAATCATTAGGTGATATTCTGGTATTCTTGACAGGTCAGGAAGAAATTGAACAAGTTGCCAAGTTACTGGAACAAAAAGCTAAAATGTTACCTCCTGAAGCCCTTAAGGTAAGATTTTTGAATATTATTGATAGTTTATTTACAAAATTTTAAAGTTAATGGTTTGCCCAATCTTTTCATCTTTACCTTCAGAGAAACAAATGGAAGTATTCGAGCCAGCACCTTCAGGATGTAGAAAAGTTATTTTGGCAACCAATATTGCCGAAACATCTATTACTATTAATGGTATTAGATTTGTTATTGATACAGGTTTTGTGAAATCAAAGGCTTTCAATCCTTTGAATGGAATGGAATCTCTGGTGTTAACACCAATTTCTAAGGCCTCAGCTAGACAAAGATCTGGTAGAGCTGGTAGAGAGTCGAGTGGTAAATGTTTCAGATTATACACCGAGGAAGCATATCACAGCTTGGATAATTTTACAATTCCAGAAATTTTGAGATGCAATCTTTCCACTGTTGTGCTTCAACTTAAATCTATGGGTATTGAAAAGGTTCACAAGTTTGATTTTATGGATAAGCCACCAAAGGAATCTCTCAAAAAATCCCTTGAAACACTTTATAATTTGGGTGCTCTTGATGAAAGAGGTAATCTTACTGAACTAGGTGTAAAAATGGCTGGATTCCCTCTTGAACCAATGTTTGCTGTTTCGTTATTGAGATCAACAGAATTTGGATGTACAAAGGAAATTTTGGATATTGTTTCAATGCTTTCTGTAGAATCTATTTTCTATGCGCCTTATCATAAGAGAGAGGAAGCAAACAAAATCAAGATGAAATTTGCCTCTAAAACAGGTGATCAACTCACACTTTTGAACGCTTTCAGAGAATTCAATTTGGTAAAAAAGAGTGCCAAGGAAGATATTAAGAAGTGGTGTTTCGACCACTACATCAATTACAAATCCATGACAAAAGTATTGGATGTCAGAAAACAATTGAGAGACTATTTAATGAACCTAAATTATGAAATTTCCTCATGTGGAAAAGATTTGGCAATGGTTAGAAAAGCATTATGCTCTGGATTTTTCATAAATGTTGCTGTTAGAGTTCCAAACAAGAGAATGTACAAAACAGTGACAGATAATATTGAGGTCAGAGTCCATCCATCCAGTGTTTTGGTAGACCCATTCCCAGATTGTGTATTGTACAATCAAATGATTTTAACAACTAAGCAATATATTAGAGATATTTGTTCAATTGAAGGAGAATGGTTGAAAGATGTAGTTCCACCTCAATATAGAAATGCTCTTTGGACTCAAACTGCTAACATGTTAAAAGAAACTCAAGAAGCCAAACAAACAGTTGAAGAAAAAACAAACAAAAACACCAAGAAGCAAGCCTATGTCGTTAAACACACTCCATAAAATTTTCAAGTTGACTGATAGATCAATTTAATCAATTTCAAATTAATATTTTAAATTCTTCAAGTTTAAAAAAAATGCTTGATGATTTTCTCCGTGTTGCTCAAGGTGTTGGGATGGTAGTGTTAGCCTCCACAAAGAAGAGTTCCGCTCACCTCCGAAAGGCTACCTCTGCTTGTACTTACTATCCACAATCACCTATTCAACAATTTGCCTATAATATTAAAACTATTCAAAATAGTCCAAATGTTGTACTAGATAAGACTGTTTCTACAATTGAAAAAATTGATGGAGAAAATGTTATTAGGATTAATCAAGATCAAGATGATAGCAATCAAAATAATGTTCAAATTTTCTTTGATAGTTATGGAAATAATTCAATGAATACCAATAATACTACTACTACAAGTGCAACAACAACTAGTTCACAAGAAGTTAAATCGGAGACACCAAAAATTGTCACCCAAAAAATTGAATCCAAGAAAGATGAATCATTTGATGGTATGATGTACGATTCTCTTATTCATGGTCAAAAGGATATCTCTGAAATTAAATCAACACAAGAAAAAAAGCCAGAAACCGAACACACAGAAAGTGATGAAATTCATTTGAGACATACCAATTCATTTTTAAAGGAAAACAAGGTTCCAAGTAATTCAGTTTCTAGAGCTATTCAATTTGCTGCTTTGGGTATCAAACTGGGAGTCAATACTGCTAAGGAACAATACTTTTCAAAGAAACCTGAAGCAACTGAAACCTCTCAAACATCTGATTCTGAAAAAAAGAACATTTCTGTGACTGATGTTTTAACAGAAAAGAATGCAGAGATTCTTGCCGATACTCTCTGTAAAATGAGAGGAGCTGCCTTAAAGATTGGTCAAATTATGTCCATTCAAGATGAGTCAACTGTTCCTCCAGTCATTCAAAAGGCTTTGGAAAAGGTCAGACACTCTGCTAATGTCATGCCAACCTGGCAATTGGAGCAAGCCATGTCTGCAGAATTTGGAGAAGCATGGAAGAGTGGATTCAAACATTTTGATACTAAACCAATTGCAGCTGCCTCGATAGGTCAAGTTCACAAGGGTGTTCTTGCAAATGGTAAAGAAGTTGCAATCAAGGTTCAATATCCTGGAGTTGCTGACTCTATTGAAAGTGATATTAGAAATGTAGAAAGAATTATCAAATATACAAATCTCGTTCCTCGTGGTGCATTCTTGGGACAAACCATGGAACAAGCTAGAAAAGAGTTGACACAAGAATGTGACTATGTTCGTGAAGCTAAATCTCAAAAGATGTTTAGAAAATTAATTCAAGATGATGCTATCGCTGAAAAGAATAGAGGTTATGTAACTGATGTTCCAATGACTTCATATAGTGTACCTGAAGTTTTTGATGAATTCACTACAAGAAGAGTTTTGTGTACAGAATTAATTAAGTATGGTAAAACAATCGAACAAATCAAGGAAGAATATCCAATTGAAGTCAGAAATAGAGTCGCTAAATTGATTCTCAAATTATGTTTAAAGGAATTGTTTGAATTCAGATTTATGCAAACGGATCCAAACTGGGCTAACTTTTTCTATGATCCAAAGACTGACACTTTGCACTTGTTAGATTTTGGAGCATGTTTGGAATTCCCTCAAGAATTTGTTGACCAATACTTGCGTGTTGTCCATGCAAGTGCCACTAAAGATTTTGAGACAGTAATTGATGCTTCAAGAAAGATGGGTTTCCTCACTGGACAAGAATCCAAGGAAATGAATGAAGCTCATGCAACAGCTGCCATGCATATTGGTGAACCATTTGCATGTGAAGGCATTTATGATTTCAGAAGTAAGGCTATTCCAGAAAGAGTTACTAAAATCATTCCAACCATGTTAAAACAAAGATTAACAGCTCCACCTCCAGTAACTTATTCTCTCCACAGAAAGTTATCTGGTGCCTTTTTGTTGTGTAACAAATTGGATGTTGCAATTGAATGCAGAGAAATATTCCTTGATGTCTATAATAGATATATGGAAAAGAGAGGACATTTAATTAATAAACAATAACAGGTGTTTTATGTACCCTTGTTGGAATATGTGAAAAACGATATCGGGAATTTTATCTCTTACCCAATCTCTTTCGCAAACTTCTAGTCTTCTTCAATCTTTTTCTGTACTTGTGTTTCTTCATCTTTCTATGTCTTTTCCTTTTTACACTGTCCATCTTGAATTCGTCGATAATTATTGGACGCACTGTCTTCTTAGGAGCAGCTATAATATTATCCAATGGATTTTAATCATTCCTAAATTAATTTGTTTTTCCATCATCTACATACCTTCCAAAATTAAGGACAATTGTTGACTTGGTGAATTTATAACTAAACTTGATGGTGATTGAACCGGTTTAATAACATTTAATATGGTTGGGTTCATCATTCCTAGACTTGAAAAACTGTTGCGGAAAGAACAGACTGGTTGTGCACGCCTCATAGAGAGGGTAGCAAATCGGGCACACAACCTGTTCATTTTTTTTATTTCTTTTTCCAATTTATTTAATTATTTAGATGCAAGCCAATTTTCAATCAATAACAAATTTAAAAATTATTATTTTGTTTATTTAGCAAGCGTTCTTTAAAAGATACCAGATTTGATAGCATATTGCATTATTCTTCATTATCAAAGCACTATTAATTTGTGTAACGTCTGTCTCCGATAAAAACATCAAAAAATATGCCAACGAAAAAGAAGCGGCAATCATCAGCAAGCAAACAAAAGAAGAAAACAACACCCTCCAAGAGAGACGCAGAATCAGCAGCTTTGGAGAGCAAATCTACATTATCTGACGGAGAGGAAGATGAGGATTTGTTAAAAAACAATGAAGATTCGGATGAAAGAACAAGTAAAAAAGTCAAAAGAGATGAAGAACCTTCCGATGATCCTATTGTTCAAGATGAGGATGGAGAAAATGATCAACAAAAATCGAGTGATAACGAATTTGAGGATGATGAGGAATATTTGGATGATGAAGAATTTGATCGTGATGACATAGATTGGTCTAACAAGGAGGTTGTTTCAAAACTGGACATTTCCGTAATACAAAAAGAAGCCAAAAGAAGAGGATTGTCTATAAAGGGTAATAGAAAAGCTGTCATGAATAGAATTTTGGATTCGTTTGTTGAACAATCTCAGGTTCAAGAATCTGCTACTGAGAATTCTGATAGTACGATAGCTCCAGTACTGTTAACACCAAAAAAAGGTGTTTTGAAAACTCCTGAACAAGTGTTTTCCAATGGTTACACACCATCAAAAAAGTCACAAGGAAAGAGAGAACGAGCCTTTGAGATTGATGATCCAGATTCGTGGACTTTGGCTGAATTGAGACATTATCTCAAAGTTGTATATAACATTCGTGCTTACGATAATAAGCAAAAGATTTTAGCTAGATACTTGGATCAAATCAAAAAGACTCTTGTGTTATCGAGAATGAGTCAAGAAGGTGCTGAAGTTGACATATCTCATCTTATTGTAACTCCTACTAAGAATTCAAAACAAAAAACTCCAAAAACTCCAAAAACTCAAACACCAAAAACTTCTCAAGTTACAAAAACCCCAAAGACAAAAGAAAAAGCAGAGCCAAAGAAAACTCCTTCCAGAATAGTTAAAAGTTCTAAAAAAGAACCAGTGGTTGAGGAAAAACCAACTCCAGACTTGGGTGAAATAATTGACGATTTGAAATCAAAGGAATTAGCAGAGGATAGCTCTATAACATACGAGGAAAGAGGCTCTCCAAAAGAAAGGTTTATGCCAATATATGCCCAACCAAGCATCCACAAATCTTTTGAAATGAGTTATAATAGAAAGAGAATTCAACTTGAAACTGATCCTTCCAATATTGATCCATACTTCAGTGAAATTACTTCAAGCTATAATCATATTACGTACGAATATCCATCTCCAGCAACAGAGCCTCATCAAATACCTGTTTCAGATAGAGTTATCAAGGATGATTTATTGGATAAAATTGTTCAAGAACAAATTGGAATGGCCGAATCTCAAGATATCTCTCAAATTTCTTCCTTGGAATACATTTCAAGCAAGGAAGAAGAATCTACAGAAAATGCTCAACCAATTACTACACTCTATGGTTTAGACAAGTGTAAATCACTCCAAAAATTAACAATTCAAGGTAGTCACTTGTCTAGCATCTATCCAATATCCAAACTGGCGGATTTGAAAGAAATCTATTTATCTAGAAATAGAATCACAAATCTCCAATATCTTCCACCTCATGTGGAGGTTGTAAATTTATCATTTAATTTATTGAAATCCCTAAGAATGCCAACTTCTGTTTATAACTCTATAGTTTACCTAAATTTGAGTTATAACCAAATCGATGTAAATATAGAATCCCTTTGCCACTTGAACTGCTTGGAAGAGCTAGATATCTCAGGTAATTGTCTCACGGATGAAATGATTCAACCTTTAGAAAATGCTAATTTCAAGAAATTACTAAAATCTCTAAGAATGAACGACAATTACATAACGGATCTAACATGCATTATGGATTTTAATTTGATAGAGTTGTCATGTGGGTCAAATTTTATATTTGATCTATCTCCTCTATCAAGTTTGAGATGTTTATCAGAGGCTTTCTTTGATAATAATCCTCCTCTATTACTCTCTCTTCACATTTTCTTACAAACGGTGGATTTGAAATCAGTCACTTTGGACGAAAGTCTATTGGAACAATTCAAGTCAACAGGAGAATCAAATAGTAGGCTAATTTCACTCTTATTAAAAGAGGCAATCAAAATTGTTGTATAAAGGCAATATTCAATGTTCAATTCTTAAGGCTTTTTTTAAAAACACAAAAAAATGATCAACAACCAAACTAATCTGTCATCTCAACATTCAATACAAAACAATGCTATTTTAGAGAGAAATTGGTATAGTAAGTTTCTTTGCAGACATTCTTCGGAGTAACGTGGTAACACTTTGCAGAATTGAATGCCAACATCGAAAGGGTTTGGTGCTCGGAAGTTGTTTCGAATAATAATCAAATACTACAAAATAATTCGATATCTAGTATAACTGAAAGAGATGAAGATTTTGGAATAATAATAACGGAGGATGGTATGGTTTTCAAGTCTGATTTGAGCTATGAAGTCATCAAAGGCTTGTCTCAACTTGATTCATATTACATTAAAAAGGCTGATATTTCAAGTATTGAGGAAAATGGAGATTCGGCCATAATATTGCTAAGTGGAGATGGAAAAGTTTTAAAACTCACTGCCGAGGATGGTTTAAATTTATTCAGACAAATTATAATTCATGATGAATCGAATGGTGATAAAGTGGTAGCTAAAGAGGTAAAGAAATCATTCGAATCTCAATTCAAACTTCATCACTTGGATCACTTTTATTTCAGTGAGGGTAAAATCACACAAGACATAGTTGTGAAGGATATTATTTTGGGTAAAAGACATGGTGTAGTTCTAACAGATGACGGAAAATGTTTTTCTTGGGGATTTAACTTTTATGGATGTTTGGGACATGACCATTATTCAAATATTGTGGACAATTCACAAAAAAGCAATGAGGATACAAGTGAAACAGTGAGCTACTCTGAAAAACCATATTTCATTCAAACACTTTCAAAGTTTACCATCAAACATGTATCCGTGGGCGATGAACATACAGTCTGCTGCACGGATGATGGAAGAGTTTTTTCATTTGGACGAAATAATTATGGACAACTAGGTACAGGTGATCAAATCGATAGATATTATGCTTCTCCAGTGACCAAACTAATGAAAAAGAAGATTGAGAATTCTTCTTGTGGATCTCATTTTTCTCTTGTGTTGACTGGTAAGTATTTATTTCACAATGATTATACTAATCTTAGTAGAGGATGGATTGGTGTATGGATTTGGGAAACCATCAAATATATGCCAACAAGACTCGATTGATTGCACTAACCCAGTTCACTTGGACGTTTTCAGATCTCAAATAATTGATAGTGTTTATTGTGGATCTGAATATTCTGTTGCTACGTCAAAATCTAAAGATGTATATTTGTGGGGAGAATATCTGAAAGGGAAAATATTACTTGAACCAATTATTATTACAAAGCTTCTCCCTTCAGATCAGATTTTATCTTCAATTTGTTGCTGTAACAACAGTCTATTTTTCTCAAGTAAGTAGCGAGTCAATTGTTTGTATTTATTCTAGAAAAGCATCGAATAATTTAAGCTCAAAAGATCAATTGATCAACAGTATTAAGGATTTGGAATTGAATGTCAAGAAGGAGGCAATAATACTTAAAGAAAGGAGTCAGCATTTGACAACAATAGCAAAAGAATTGGAAAGAAACACAGAAGAATCTAAGGAGGCTATCGTAGCTCTATGTGTAGGCTATATGAATCTTGTAAACAATAGGAGTGATACAGCCTTCACAACACTTCTAGGAAAGAGTAAAGAAATTTACAACTCCCTCGTGTATTATAGTGGTGATATGACTGAGATTAATCACTCTCTGCTTTTACTCAACTTGCAAATTAAGGAATGGAACAAGCAAAAGCAGGAACTAACTTTTATTCTAACTATTCTAATGAAGAAATATGAAACATTCTCAAATAACAATCCGCAAATACAATCAGAAAATGAAAAAAACGTGCGAACTTCCTTACAGAAAATTTTTGTACACAACTCAACTAACGAAACAGAAGATGGCTCCTTTACAAAATCACTGGATAAGATTTATTCCCTACAAGATAAGGAAGATGAAGCAAGTAAGATGTTAGAGGAAGCTTTAAACCTAGAGATGCACGATGACTTGGATTTTGATCAGTTCGATAAAGAAATAGAGCAAGAGGCAAAGAATTACAATCCGGACAGTTTTGAAGAATTAGAGTCAACGAGTCAAGACTTCTATTTCTCTATGGACCAAACCATATCGTTGCTTGGTGAAAAACTTTCTAAATGTGAAAAGAAAATGGGGTTGTGTAGCAAGAAGAGCAATCATTTGAAACAGCATTTGTCAAATACCTCTGCTGTTGTTAAGGATATATTGTCAGTGCTTGGTAAAAATTACAGTGAAAGAATGTTGGAAAATCTTAAGAATATACTGGATGCTACCTATAAACTGCAAATAGATTCAAAGAACAACAATCAGAGACTAAAAGAAAATGAATATCTCAAGTTGGAATTGGAAAAATCAAGGTTACAAGTAATTAGCTTGGAGGTCAAGAATGCAGACTTGAAAGAGAAACTAGAAACTAAATCAAAGGACACTGAAAAATTAGAAATGATGCAACAGATTAGCTCTCTCAACAAGCAAATTCAAACTCTATCGAATAAGGAAAATCAACATAACAACGAAGCATTTCTTCAATCGAGAATAGAAAAGCTAGAAGAAACAAAAGATAAACTCCAACATGAAATGAATACTAAGAATAATGAAATAAGGGGGTTGGAAAAGAAGCTAAGCAGCGCAGAATTAAAACTTAGTCAAGAGAGATGGGAGAAAGAAACGGCCATTGATGAAAAGAATAGAATTCAAACAGGTTTCACAACAGTTACAGAGCAACTTTCTCAAGTCGAATCAGAAAATCTCAAACAGTTAGAGGAACTATTGAGCTTGAAAACCTTGATATCAAACCTTAAAAATGGCATGGATAGTATTGTCTTGGAAATGAGTAATGAACTTAAAAAATTCCAAGTTGATCCTCCTCAAGGAAGCTCATCAGGGTTCGTAGAAGACATTTTCTTGCAGTTAAAACGAACATCCAAGTCAGTTCTTGACTTTTTAGAACAGGTAAGTTTTTTGGAATAGCTGTGTAACTAATATTTTTAAGATTTGTGGAGAAAAAGAAGTTTTGAGAGGAGAATTGTACGCTCAACTTTCGCAAAGTTACAGTAAACAAAAAGGTCAAGAAGAATCTAAACAGAAAGAGTTGAAGGAATTGAGTGATAAAGTTTTAACTCTTAATGCACAGGTATCAATCAAAGATTCAGAGCTCTCCAGTTTAAAAATGAAGTTTGATTCTCTTCACACTGTCTGTGAAACGTACGAGGACAACTATAAACAAATGGAGGCATATTACAATAGAGAAAGAGAGGAAGTTTTAAAATCTAAGGCCATCATTGATGATCTGAAAGAAAAGTTGAGGATTTGCTCACTGGAATACATGGATATACGCAGTCTTTTCGATACACTTTCATGTGATTTGATGGAGGTGAAGGAAGATAATGAAAGTCTTATTGGTGAGCTAGAAGTTTACATGCTTCAACTGAAGGAAAAGACAGATATTTCATATTATTTAGCTTCAGCATTGGATGAGGAAATTACAAACACCAACAAAATCAAAGAGCTAGCCCAGACCAATGAAAACATCATCTTGGAAATCCAAAAGATTTTGCAAGTGGAAGATTCAACAAAACTTGTAAAACCAAGTGAAACAATCTTTCAACTCTCTTCATTGGATTCCTTAGATGATATATTCGATTCAATCCCAACAATAGAGGACGAAGATTTCAACCATTCAGTACTTGCCATTTGTGAGGATGGAGAAAAGTTGCAGGAATTTTTACAACCATCACTTTCAAAAGTGAGAATAATCAATTCATTAACCAAGTCAATTGAAAATGGAACTAGCTTGAAATCTTCTCTACAGAATATATTACGTAAAAAGAAAGAATACTCTACAGAATTAGAAAATGATATCGAATTCATGAAAAGAAACTTACAAGAATTACTTTCCCATCTTTCAAGTTCATTACTATCTCAAACCTTTAAATAATGTCACAATTTCAACAATTATCTATTCATTTTCATAAAGCTATTTGAATTTGTTAAAAACTGATGATCATCACGAGTAATAATAAATAATTGTTAAATTTATTGTTGGACATATCTCTTCAAAATATCAATACGATAATCCTTCTTTTCAATAGTCTTTTTAAGTTCCTCAATTTCCTATTATTAAAATAAATCCGATTAAATTCCAATTTAAATTACTTTGATTTAAATCATATTCTTCTTACCTGATCCTTCTTTAATAAAATGTCTTCATATTCCTTCTTTTCTTCAACAACTGTTTGACGGATCTTATTTAACTCTTCAAGAACATCCTTATTACTAGCTCCGGTCAGAGATTTAATTTGTTGTTGGAGTTGTTTAATTTGATTTTCGTATTCGGTGGCTTTTTGTTCGAGGGCTTCGATTGTGGACATTTTTTTTAATTTTAATTGTAAAAAAAATTTGAAAAATGGTTTCTTTGGTGGGAGGTGTTGTTTTGCTCGGGTTGGGAACTTTATTATTTAAACCTCAGGAAATACCCAAATATTCACGAGTGTTGGGAAGATTTTGTGGAAAGAGTTTAAAATTGGTGATGGAAGCTAAATCTTCATTGGCAAAATCTAAAGATTCGGAATTATTACAAATGAAAAAAGAGTTTGATTTTATGATGAGCGAAGTTTCTTCTGTTAGAGGAGAAATTAGAAAGGGACTTAATTTAAGATCAATTACAAATGGACTTCAAAGTAAATCGGAGATGGAACAACATTTTCAAAAATTAAATCAAAATATAGTTCAAAATAATCAACAGGAATTAAATCAAACATCTCAAATGAATACTAATATAATTGATAATACTCCAATTAATACTGACCAAGTTAATGGCACAGTTCAAGAATTTACTCAAGTTAATCATAATACTATTGTAAATAATGTAACACAAACACCAACAATCAATATTCAACAAGGAAATATCAATTCAACGATTCCAACAGGTACCACATCAACAGCAGGAATAGGATCAAATATCTTGTTAAGGAATATTGGAGTTAAATCAATACCTAAACAAACAAATCAGAATATTACCCCAAGTTTTTCTTCTGCATTTGCTGAACTTCAAGAATTAGAACGTCAAAGCATCTTGAATGATCCAGAATTGAGATATCCTGACTTTGATCAATCTAAATGGAATACATATGATTATGAAAAGGATCCAGTCAAGCTAACAAATACATATCCTGATTTGAAAGAATCTCCATTCTCTGTTGTTGAATTTGGACATAAACCAATGGATGGCCTTTACGATGAAGCCAGTGTTGGAATTAGAACAGAAGTATTGGGAAGTGGTGCTGACCTAGTTTCGATTAATGTTTTGGAAAGTATTGTAGCAGAAAATTTCCCAAACAGAGATGAAGCAACCAAACTTTTCAATAATAAATAAGTTTAATTTAAATTTTTTTTTGCTCTAGAAATGTTAATTTACAATTCGTCCTTTGGAGAATCACTAATTGGCTTATCATCGTCTTCATTCTTCAAACCAAATTCATCTTCAGCCAAAGTAGAATCTTCACCGAAATCATCCTCGAAATCGTCACCCAAAATTTCTTCATCAGTCAAACTGTCAGCACCACCATAAAGCTTGGCCAAAATTGGACCAGCAGTGCTTCTCAATTTCTTGTATTGAGCAATGAAGTGTTCCTTCTTAACAGTTGGCTTATCTTCATTGGCCTTCATCCAACGGAGAACCAAACGAAGCTTATCCAAAATGGCATTCTTATCTTGAGACTTCAAACGATTGACAATATTCTTAGTACCCAATTGTTGCTTCAAAGTAGCAATGTAGCTTTCAAGCTTATTTCTAGCTTCAATCTTTTCCATGAAGTCACGATCATCTTGTTCATTGGATTCAGCATCATTGGTCATCTTTTCAATTTCTTCATCAGACAAGCTACCCTTCTTAATTTCAATTTCCTTTCTATTCTTAGTGGCTTGATCTTCAGCAATAACCTTAAGAATACCATTTTGATCCAATTGGAAGACAACCTTAATTTGTGGAACACCCTTTGGAGCTGGTGGAATTTCAGTCAATTGCAATTCACCGAGCAATCTGTTGAACTTAGTAATACGTCTTTCACCTTCATAAATTGGAATAGCCAATTTGGTTTGGTAATCACCAGTAGTAGTGAAAATATCAGACTTTTCAGTTGGAATTGGAGTATTTCTTGGAATAATAGTAGCCATAACACCACCAACAGTTTCAATACCCAAACTCAATGGAGTAACGTCAATCAAGATAATATCCTTATCATCCATAGTACCAGCCAAAACAGCAGCTTGAACAGCAGCACCATAGGCAATAGCTTCATCAGGGTTGACATCAACATGGAGTTCCTTACCATCGAAGAATTCAGACAATTGTTGTCTAATGAATGGAATTCTAGTAGAACCACCAACCAAAACAACTTCATCAATATCACTCTTTTCCAAATTAGCATCCTTCAATACACGTTGGACAGGGAGCAAAGTCTTCTTGAACAAGTCCTTGTTGGCATTTTCGAATTGAGTTCTAGACAAAGTGAGAGACAAGTCAATACCATCAATCAAATTATCAATTTCAACCTTAACACTAGTGTCAGCTGAAAGAGATCTCTTAGCATCTTCAGCAGAACGCTTCAATCTTTGATAAGCTCTCAAATCCTTGTACAATCTGTCAGCCTTGATTTCTGGATGCTTCTTAGTGAAGAGAGAAATCAACAAATCAATAGTTCTAGCATCGAAATCTTCACCACCCAAGTGAGTATCACCATTAGTAGCAATAACTTCAAAAACACCACGGTCAATCTGAAAAAATTTCACACATTCCGATAATATATAAACTACTTACAGTCAACAAAGAAACATCAAAAGTACCACCACCCAAATCGAAAACCAAGATATTTTCTTCCTTATCCTTCTTGTACAAACCATAGGCCATGGCAGCAGCAGTTGGTTCGTTGACAATACGAATAACGTTAAGACCAGCAATACGACCAGCATCCTTTGTAGATTGACGTTGTTGATCGTTGAAATAAGCAGGAACAGTAATGACAGCATGTTTAACAGGTTCACCCAAATACTTTTCAGCAATTTGCTTCATCTTGACCAAAACTTGAGCACTCAATTCTTCTGGAGAAGTGGTCTTATTTTGAACATTGATATAAACACGACCTTCCTTGTTAACCAAATCATATGACAAGAGCTTGGCATCCTTATTCAAAACTTCATTATATCTACGACCAATCAATCTCTTGACATCGTAGAAAGTATTCTTTGGATTAGAGACGGCATTGTTCTTGGCAGAGTCACCAACAAGTTTTTGATTATTATTTGACAAATCCTATATTATAATAATAATAATTAGTTCATCCATCAAATTGTCATTAAATCATTGTCGATGATTATTAATAACATGATTTGTGTTAAAAAATCAATGTTGATTTTTTGTATCATTGATTATAATCAAGTACAGAGTAGTAGTAGCAACAAACAACAACAACAACATTCCATCACACATTGCACTGTTGTTAATATCCAATCGATAGATTAATACTTACAAATGAAACAACACTAGGAGTAATTCTGTTACCTTGATCGTTTGGAATAACTTCAACAGCACCATTCTTATAGATGGCAACAACACTGTATGTAGTACCAAGATCGATACCGACAACAGGTCCATCAAATTTAACTTGACCTTTACCAGTGTGTCCTATAACTTCCTTTCTACCCTCAATAAGAGCAAGCATACTTGCCATTATGATAGCCATAATAGCAACAATAGCAAACCCACCCCAGGTTTTCTTCTTCATCACGACCGATTGAGATGACATGAAAAAGAATTTGATTTTGTTGTATTTTTTTTTTTAAAGTATTCTTTCATGATTTGATTATTATTTTAATTTCAATGCCAATGTTTGATGATGAATCACCTCATGGTAACATAGAGCCTGTAATGAAAGAACATAATCAGTCAATCGGGTCAAATACCTGTTAATTTCTTGTGTGATGTCATTCTTGGAATGGTCTTTCAAGTGTGTAAGACCGAGTATTATCTCTCAGAGGGAATTTTAATTGCAATTCCAGTTAAACACGTGTTGACCTTTATAGAAGAAATGCATTAGCCACCTAAAGAACTAGAATGGAATGATGTAAGATCTTTGAGTGGATTGAAGTAAAAATAAAGTACATTCTTCTTCAATAAAAAACTTCGCGGTCTACAGGATTCGAACCTGTGCGGGTCGCCCCAATTGATTTCTAGTCAATCACCTTAACCACTCGGTCAAGACCGCTTCACATTGATTTATTTTAATAACAATACAAGAAAAAAAAAACACGATGCATCACTTTCCCCTTAATATTGTCTTAACTTGAATTCACTTATTATTCATACGTTCCAATTCTCATAAAAGGCAACAAAACCTCCAAAGAATCCTCTCGCTAACAATAATTCGGCATTATTTGATTTATTTTTAAAATCCCAAGTTAAAAAAAATGAGTTTACTATTCAACAATACTAAAAAACTTTTATCAACCTCATCATTATCACTGAAGAGTGGTGCAATGATGGCCTCTCTCATGTCAGCATCATCATCCTCTGTGTGTCATCATCAAATGGTTAAGAAAAATATGATTCGGAAGTCATCTTTAATTCTTCCTTCAACCAATAATAGACATTTTAGTACATCATCTAGAGTTTTAACAATTTCAAAGCATGCTGAAAGTCTTCATACTGAAGGAAAATCACCAATGGAAGTTTATAAAGATTTGGTAAAACAAGGATCAGTCAATGAGGATGTCAGACAAATTGAATTGTTAAAAGTGTTAACAAATCTCTATGAAAAATTGAAGAATTATAATATTAATGATGCAAGAGCAGTTATTAAAAATCATTTGGGAACAACTTCAGCAACTGGTACTGCAAAAACTGGTTCTTTTGATCCAAAAGCTATTTCCAGGCAAATTAAACCTCATCCAACTGGTTTACCAAAATCTCTCTATATTTATGGAGATGTTGGTTGTGGTAAAACATTCTTGATGGTATGTTTTAGAAATATTCAATTGGGATTTTAAAATTCAATAATAGGACATGTTTTTCAAGTGTGTTCCATTGCAAAAAAAGTTGAGAATTCACTTTAACAGTTTCATGATTGATTTTCACACTAAAATGCATCAAATGAATAGAATTAATAAGGATGGAGGTGCAAATATGGAAAAATTAATGGATGAAATTGCTGATAATTATAATTTATTATGTTTTGATGAATTCCAAGTTACTGACATTGGTGATGTAAGTTTGAAGAAATTAATTGAAAATAACAATTTCTTATCTAATAGGCCATGATTTTAAAGAGACTTTTTGAAGGATTATTAAATAGAGGAGTTGTAGTTGTCAAGACATCTAACAGAATTCCAGATCACTTGTATGAAAATGGTATTAACAGAGAAGCATTTTTACCATTTATTGATGTCATTAAAATTAAATACGATGTATTTGATATGGAAGCAGTTTGTGATTATAGATTATCAAGTGGTACTAAGCAAACTAATGTATATTTCACACCACTTAATAAGGAATCAGAACAACAATTAGAAAGTTTATTCCAAAAATTAACTCATCCATATGATGCTGAACCAAAACCAATTATGGTTATGAATCGTCTGTTGATGGTTCCAAGAGCTGCTAGAGGTGTTGCTTTCTGTACATTTGACTTTTTGTGTAAACAACCAAAGAGTGCTGTGGATTATATTGGTATTTGTAGAGAATTCCACACTCTTATCATTTCAGGTATTCCAACATTTAATAAGGACAATAGAGATCACATGAGAAGATTTATTACTCTTATTGATGAACTTTATCAACATCGTGTTAAGGTAATTTGTTCAGCAGCTAGACCAGTTGAGGAGCTTTGTCAATTCGATAATCAAGGAGAAGTTAATTTAAACGTTGAACCTGCCTATAATTTCAATAAGAGTCAAACTGAGAATTTTGATGAAGTTTTTGCCTTTACAAGAACAATTTCAAGATTAATGGAAATGAGAAACAAGGAATATTTGACTAGTCATCACGTTTCCATTGTTTCCGATAGTTCCAAAGTACATGAACATGTTTAATTCAACTAATTCTTAATCTAATTCTCAATTTTCTTCATTCTAATAAAAATTGTAAGAGAAATTCAATTTATTTAAATTCCACTACAAACTGAAGGACAATGATCCAAACATTTACTCTTCTTTCCTCCTCTATAGGTTTCTCTGCAGGCTTCTCTACAGATTGATGAACATTTCTGAGCAGTTTTAGGTTTTGTAATTTTAACCGAAGCTGGATTTTTAGCTCCGAGAGTTGCAGCCATCGATTCAGAAATGTCAACATCTTCCAATTGATTAATTTGTTCTAAAACAACAGCTTCATGAGAGGCATTGGTGAAGGAAGCAGTTGTAGCAATAACGATCAACAAGACCATCATGGCTAATAAAACAACATATGAAATAGATGAACGCATTTTTTTTTATGTGATGACGTTTGATTGTTGACTCAAATCAATGGGAAATATTGCACCTTAGATAAAACTAATATGATTAATAAGAATATTGCTAAAACTACACATAACACTTTTGTATCTAGCTCAATTGAACATCCAAATTTTGGAGGGTAAATTGTGGAGGATAGAGAACTTCATAGTTAGACGAAACAATTCTTGTGTTTGCCAATTTTACATGAATTTCATCGTACACTGAAATGTACTCAATATATTTCCTAAAATTCAGTAAGGAATAGAATGCAATTTGCAATTCTTCCAGTCCATAAGCCCCTTCCAAAAATATAAAGATTGTCCTCTTTGAAATTCCTGAATTCTCATCTTGTTCAACTAATAAAGTTATAATAGCTCCAGAAACCCCAAACCTTGTTGATTGGATAAAAGCCAACAGAAATGAATTTTTTGGATTGAAATTATTTTCATTAATTGTGTCAAATTTTGGAATTTCAATGGACGAGTCATATTGTCTCATCTTCAAACTCAATTGAGATGCAATTTGTGTTGAATAAATATAGGTGGAACATTTGGCACAATTCACAATATTAAATTTTGAACTAGGAGAGAGTATGAATACTTGTTTTTGACAAGATTATGGCAGGTTTTTGAAAGTTCAGAAGGTCTATCTAAGAATGTGTAACCATCTAATGAAATTAACTTTTCTAACATTTCAGAACCACCCTTTCTTTCAGAATTTTCTAATTTCTGAATTCAGAAGTGAATAGGGCCTTGCTTTTAGTATCTCCATCTAAAAGGAAACAATCCAATTGATTTACACAAATCAACAAAATTGTAATCCACATTTCTCAATATCAATGGATAGAGGTCCTCCATTTGATTCATCGAGATCTGACCATTCCTTCGTAGGGTTAAAATTTCCAATCTCAATCTTTCCTCTGCATAAATTTCATCAAAAATATTGTAAACTTCTAATGAAATTGAAAAGAGTTTGTTTGTCCATGTAGAACATCCAATTTGTGATAATTTCATGTGGAATTTCTTTATCGAGTTGTGTGGGAATTATTAGAAATTGATCGATACTAAATCGAATAATCAAAAGGTGGTGATTGCGATGTCACTCGAATTATAATAACAGAAAAATGTCTCTATTGGATTTACCAACAGAATTACAAACCGAAATATTTTCCTTTCTCTCATTAAAACATATTCGAAACATTTTATTGATCAACAAATCAACTTACAATCGTATCACAACAGATCCATTCTATTGGAAACAAATTCTTCAATTATATAGGAAACATATCGATCCATCCCATTGTCATGTAAAAATTGAACAATTAGACTTTGGAGAAAATTTCTATCAAGATTCGATTCGTCCACTAATTGGGAATTTAATTGATGAAAAAATTAATTATTTAGACAATCTCTTCTGTCGTGAAATGAAATATTATGCACAAGTTGAAAAACAATCGAGTATTATAAGAGAATTGACTGATTCAATTGAGTGGACTGTTGAATGTTTACAAAAGAGTACAAATACAGATATTAGAGTTTCGTATCAGCATAAATTGACTCACTTGTTTGGAGAGAAGGAATTGCATGAAGATTCATTGAGGAGTTTTGATATGAAATTGGAGGAAACGAAAAGAATAATTGAGTTGCTTAGGGAGGATTGATACTCTTCATGAATATGAGTTTCTTCAAAAAAAAT